CCCCCCCCCCAATCTCATTGTTCTCTAATTGAGACCGAAAACCACAAGATATCTGGATCAACACACCAATGATAAAGATCGAGGCTTCCAGGCAAAACTACCGGGGAAGATCACGCCTCCATCGGACTGCAGGGACCCTCTCAGGCTGCAAGGCTTCAGCCATCTCTCCCCCTCTTCTGTATTGAGGAATACGCTGCTCTGCAGGTTATCAAGCGTTATAGCTGATACCGTCTGTTCACCGCTCCCTATCACAGGCCATTATCTTGAGCCACCATCTAGACCAGCACCAAACCGTCTCAGGGCGACCAGAGTACACACCACGCAGGTAAGCAAATGACTCGCAGCAAAACATTTGAGCTATACAGTTCCAAAGGAATCAATCTAACAGAGCTTCTTGGTATCTATCAGACAAAGTTCGTCACGTTACTACATTCATGAATTCGCCCACCAGCCACTTCTCCACCGTCTCCTTCAACAGCCGCTCATAGTTCACCAACGTCTGCTGCGTGGCCCATGCCAAATGAGGTGTGAGAACCAGGTTCAGGTCCTCAGTCCCCTCGGCCAGCAAGGGGGAGTTCTCCGGTCCAGCAGGCTCCTTTGCAAACACATCCGTGGCAGCACCGGTGATCTGGTTTCTCTGCAAGGCCCGCACCAGTGCCTCTTCATCCACCACTCCTCCTCTCGACACATTGACCAAGACCGCATGGGGCGACATGGCTTCAAACTCGGCAGTCGAAAGGAGATTCCGCGTAGAGGGTGCCAGCGGGACTGCGATGAAAAGTACCGTGCTCTGCTTGATGACTGCGTCGAACGCGACTCTCCCTTGTTCGTTGTCAGACCGAATCGGAGCGCTAGCATCCCCACGTTGTTTGCGCTCCGCAATAATCACCTTCATGCCCAGCCCGCGGGCCAATTGGGCGATCCGTTTCCCTGGATTTGAGTCAGACTCATCGTGTTCCAGGCAAATCGCGTACCATGGATACCACCGGGAACGTACCAACAGCGCCATTTCCAATAATTCCGGCCACCTCCTCCTGGCAGGTCAGGGGATGTGTTCCGTCGTGGTTGAGACAATCAAACACCAGAGTCTTTTTCCGGGGCCACTCGCCAGCCCGGGTTAATGTGTGCGCACGCAGGACTCTCCGACGGGTTGAAAAATATAATCCGATCGCATGTTCCGAGACAGCCTCGGTATTTGCCGCGGGACAGTTGCTCACGAGAATGTCCCTCGTTCTGCACGCTTCCAGGTCCACACAGTCGGTCCCCGCAGCCACTATCACGATTAATTTGAGATAAGGGGTCACCTCTGGAGACAGTGCCTCTGCATCAACCCGCAGCGCAGATAGGACCAAAATCGAGGCATCGTGAATGCGTTCGTGGAGTTCAGAGAGCGAAGTCTGTCCGTAGAGGGTTGTGGTGCAAGTATACGGGGCAGGAAGTTGGAATTCGGGGATTTTGATGAAGTCGGCCTGCAGGGCCACGATGTGGTGGTCAGTTGGAGATGAAGGGGGCGCCATGATAGTTGTCACTTGGCAATGAAAGAAAAGAGTAAGTCAGTCCCAGAGAACTCTGGGGATTCTGTGAGATTTATTCTCCCGCCCTTACAACACTGCGCCTTGTCGATGACACCGACCCACTGACGATAAGCAGATCGACCCGCTCGGCTCGCAGCCGGTCCTCGCAATCACCAGCCTGTGAAATGGTTATCTATAATCATTCTCTTGCCTTGCATAACAATCAAGGGCTCGAAAATATCGGTCGATTCTTCTAGACACCAGGTCTATCATGTCTACTGCACGGGTCACGGTTTAACCTCGTGAAAGATCCCCTCAAAGTATTCGGTCACTCCGGCCACATCCTCGAGCTCTCCCATCCATCCGACATGCTGATCCGGCCGCAAAACAACCATGGCGCCCTTCGATCTGTCCACTCCCCACAACTCATAAGCGTTGCCTTTGCACTGCTGGTCCCAGAAGCACTCGCTGTCACTCCATACCTTCGAATAGTCCCAGCCCTCGTTCTCGTCGAACTGACGCACAATTGGGGGGAAATCACTCAGCTCCACTTCATCCACTGGTGCACTGTGGATGGCTTTGACCTCGATGACGGAGTCAAGCTTTTGCTCGGGGGGTGTGAAGCGTTTCAGAAGCTCTGTCAGTCTGTCACTAATCGCCGACAGGCAACTCTGCTGGTCCTGCCGCCGTACATCGCCGGCCAGAAGCAGGATCCGAAAGCGACCGTCACTCTTCAGGAGCCGCGTAGTCCACCACGGCTGGCCATCGGCCTGGTTGCGAATGAGTGCCGCAGGGAATCTCTCTCCTGCCACAAGGTGCGTGGCCATTGCTGTGCTGCCCTTGTGTACTAGAGGGCTCGCCTTGTAGAACGCGACGTGTCCCTCTGCGAAAAGTTCGTTTTCAACAAATGCTTCCTGCATGGCCGCCTGCATCTCGTCTTGCTCCTTCTGGGATACCACGAGTCCCTGTTGCTTCTGCTTCGCTTTCTTCAGAAAGAAAGAGCCCCATCTTTGGTCAAAATCCAGGACCTTCTGCGCGAGTTGATGACGCTCCGACGCGTATGTGTCGAGGATGGAGGGAGATGCCATTCCTTTGAGGACAAGCCCCAGCTTCCAGCCGAGGTTCAAGCCGTCCTGAATACTCATATTCATGCCCAATCCTATCTTCGGGCTGTGGGTGTGGACAGCATCTCCGACCAAGTACATCCGTCCCTTGTTAACGGTAGGGGTGAGTCTCCGACCCACCTGTGAATGCCTATCAGTCATGGCTCATCGAGGGAATGAGAGTTGGGAGGTACCTGATATGCAGCCCACCAGTGACAAATTTTGAAGTCAAAGTCGTAGGGGGCCATGATTTTCTTCACCCTCTCGCGAAGCATGTCTAGGGTTACTGTCGACCGGTCGAACGAATCCGCCACCACCTCGTCGTCCTCTTGCAATGGGACGTAGAGGCGCACGATATTGCCTTCCCTCGTGATCATGAGCAGATGGCCGTGCGGGCCGTCTATCGAGGACGGCCAACGGATGTCCGCTGTTTTTCGGTCAGGCTGCTTGCTTTCTCCGTGTAAGGCATGAACTCACGGAAATCTGTAATTGGAACCACATCCATCACACCCCTAGAGAAGCATGGAAGTCAGCCAGGGCCATGATTAAAATGGCAAGAGGGCTACCAGATATGATCCAGGTGCGACCCCTCAAAGGGAATATTCAGTTGTTTTCTCGTCCAGCTATGTGCCCCATCACAACCGATGAGGTACTTGGCCCGGATTGTCTCCACTGTGCCGACCTCGTGCTTGCGTTTCTGAATGAGGTCGTCACGGTCATCCGGGGCTGGGTGGTAGGGACAGGTCCCCGGGATGGGGGCTGGGGTTGCTTCCGCCTCACTTAGGGTCCGCAACTGGACCGTGATGGGATACGCCTGTGGATCATTCTCGAGGCTCTCATCATAGCTTAATGACTCTCCAATGACACCCCTTTCAACGTCGAGGCTGGAGGTGCCTCTGATAGCATCCAGCAAGAATCGTTCGATGCGGCCCTGGGTCAATAAGGCCATCCGATATGGTGACGAGGCATGGATGCTGCTCTGCTGTTGCCCGGTACGTTGCAGGCCCCCCTTGCCGTCTGGTCTCTGGGGGGGCTGTCAGTGACTGATTAATGACCAGCTTGGCCGGGCACTCACCCAGAACATAAATGCAGCCGCGTGGTAGCCCTCTTCCATCACGCGGTGGGCAAACCCCATACTATCAAACAGCTCGAGCGTTCGACTCCTCAGACCATCCGCATGGCCTCGGAACAGCTTGGTGCCACGTTTGTCGATGATGCGAGCATTGATGCCATACTGCGCCATCCAGTAGGCAACCGCCAGCCCTGATGGGCCAGCACCGATGATGAGGCTAGCAGGGTCAGTAGCAGGGTGGGAGGCAGAGACGGAAAACTTGCACATCAGTAGAAGACTCGATCGAGCCAGTCATGGTGGGATACAAACAAGCGAAGCAGGATGATCCGAGGGATTGGAAAGATGATAGTGCAGCTCCAAGACTGTGATGCAGCTGGCTACTTATACGGTGAAGTCGTGCCTCTGTCCAACATTCCCATTCGGAATAAGCGACTCAGCACAATGGGGCTTCAACCCCGCTGCTTATCGCTCCACCCGGGCTCGGGGTGTTTCTTGGTGCATTGAGGCCGTATCTACTGTCGCTCTGCTGGGTAGATCCATGATCATGCCCGGGATTCCTTTTCTTTGGTGTTTCGTAGGACGGCGGCGGGGACGCGAAACATCGCATTGACAGCGCCCATCTACGATTCGACTGGGCCAAGCAAGATGTTCTCCGCTGGCACAGGCCATTCCCCGCTAAGCTAGGTATTGGTTCAATTGGACAGGAAAAGTTGATCCTTGATGGTCCGATGGCGTTGGGTTGCGATGTGGATTCTGCAAGCTTGATGACCAGTCCAGTTCACCTTCGGCCACTGCCGGTCAGCGCGACGCGTCAACATGGTCGATCGGCAATGTGATGGCAGTGGAATAGTGACTGCCTGGTCATGGCTTGACTGGTTCTGTATCCTCCGACCCGTAAATGAATCAGCGCTGTGCAACACGGCGATGCCCGGTCGACCCCGCACTCGTCCAGGCGCCTCGTGTCGCCATTCTACTGGGAACCAGTTCTTCCGTCAAATTGAGTGCCAATGATCCATGCGCCGTGGAAAAGGCATCCGCTGTCAGTGGAAGACGCACATTGCTGTCGGATGGAGCACGCGGGCTTCTCTCGAGACCTACGGGGTACCAAGTAATGATGATCTCCAAACTCCCCGCTGCGCTTCTGAGGGAAGCTGATTTCGAGGTGGCGACCATTTAGGCAGAGACACGACCCTGGATGGGAGGAATCCATCCCTGTGTGCATGAACCCCTCCACCCCTTTACTGACTATGAAAGCCACCATTCGTGTCAGCTTGATAGGAATTACGTTCCACAGGGGTCAAGGGTGTCGAAGCTTTCTCAAGTCTCTTGTCGAGTTTCCCCCCTCGATCTACCTTTGCGATCCGGCGATCCATTCCACACGTCCACTTGTGCATTCCACAACAATGAATGTCAAGAATCAAGAATTGTTCCATGAAGGCGGCCCGGAGACTTTCCCCGGTTTAATTTAAACATGGTCTGCTCGCTTGGATCCATTTTTAACAATACTCGTTCTTCCGGCCTCACTGAGCTTATTGTACCCTGACAAAATGCGTTTCTCCACCGTAAGTTGTACCGTCCGTGCTTTGACACATTACTCATGAGATTAGCTCCTCGTCACCTCAGCACTGTGCTTGACTCCAGCCGTCTACGCCTACGGGGTGGCCGAAGTGACAGCCAGAGCCCACGCGGACTGTCATCCCGACGACCCCCCGAATGATCGTCTCATTGGAGATCCGCAGGATACGGTGGCCACCGAGGACACGTGCGAGAAGATCGAGGTGAAGCATGGCTTTGATATTGATGCCTACTCGGTGAGCCTCGTCGACATCACCAAGGATACGTCGGATCGATGCCACGCTCTGGGGATCTATGCGAATGGGGAGTGCATGGGCTTGCCCAATGCGTTGATTCCGTTCTTTCCTGGGGAAACCCAGGGTGAGAGCCGCTGCTTCAAGGATACGCCTTTTGACAAGTACCTATACGTTCGGCTGTTGTGTGATGCCGATGACAAGGACAAGGACAACAAAGATAAGGAAGATGGACCGGAACAACCCGAGTCTGAGGATGCTAAAACCGAGGCACCGGAAGAGCCTGCCGCGCCTGCAGCATCTGCAGCATCTGCAGCACCTGCCGACAAACCGAGTGGTGGTAATGATCTTCTGAGTAGTCTGGGTCTGTAGGAGGGAGAGGAGGGAGATGAGATGAAGGCCGCCATGTACTAGTATGACTACGACAATTTAGATTACCATAATGTCAAGCATGATGCCGAGTGTATTGAGTTTACAGTAGGAATTGTCCTTTACATTGGAGCCGTATCCCAGTAAATCTCTTACCCTATTACCCATCACCAAATTTACATAGCCGGTCTATACACAGCCCCCCCCCCCCATCTGCAGCTAATGCAGACCAACCCCCAACATGAACCATACCACAGCAATCATACCCAGTATACCACCACTGCCCTTGCACTCCTACCCATGAGCAAGAATCCATCCCGCCCGATAGATCAGACATATCCATACAGCAGCACCAGGAATGCACCGATGGGGTCCCAACTGAGCAACCACGACCAGCCTCCATCACTCACCCGAGGAATGCCAGCCACGCCACACGCCATCCACATACGCGATGGCTTTTTCCCAGTGTTTAATGTGAGGCTGGACATGAAGCAGGATATAAAGCGGAGTTTGTGCCAGTGCAATTGCAAGGATTGATTCAGAGCCGTTCTCTCCACCTCATCTAGGCTAATATCAACCTCACTCACATACACCCCAACTCAACTCGACACATACTTCCCTCCATCACAACACGAGGCTTCAATTCTAGTCTCTCAACATGCGACACCATGTACACCCCCCATCCTATCTCTCCAAACCACCCAAAATCAACTGACCAAATCAATCTAGATCCTCCCCCTCCTCCTCCTTCCTCTCACCTTCTCCCTCCCCCTCACAACAGCCACCATCACCGCCCAAATCCGTCCCTCCTTCCATACCACCTGTCCATCTACCTCCACTACCTCCACCACCACCACCACCACCGATACCTCCTCCTCCGACACATCGACAACCCTCCACCCCCGCACCCACCACATCCCCATCGCCAAACCCATCCCCCTCCCTCACCACCCACACCCACACCCACCGGGTACAATCCCCCTCCACCCAAATACCTGCCAATCCATCCCCATCCCAGATACCTCCTCCCCAACCACCACCACCACGCATGTGTCTTTCGATACCCAGATCCAGGGGTCAGGAACGGGAACAGGATCAGGCACAGGAGGGGTTGAATACTGCAATGTCACGCTACATGAATACCCAGGATGCGTGGATACACCCTTCCTGGTGAGTCGGGTGGATGGGGAGGAGGGTAGGGGGTGGGTGGGGAGTGGGTGTGCTGCGAGGGGTGCATCCTCTGGGACTGGGGCGGGGGTTGGGAATGGGAATGGGGGCGTGTGGGTGTTGTTGGAGTGTGAGGATTTGCCTGGTGGTGCTGGTGGGAAGGATAAAGATACTGAGAGTGAGAGTGAGGCTTCGAAGGGAGGGATCATTCACGGCGGTGAAGAGAGTCAGAACGGGGATGATACTACTGGCAAGACACAAGAGCAGGATGACAACAAGGTAACTCCGCTTGGCTCCATACACGGGGGCCTGCTGAACTCGACGGCGCTGCACGGGGCGAATTGGAATGCCACGATGGGGAAGATGAATATGACGGCGCCGGTGATGCGGAGGATGTTGGGAAGACGGGATTGGCGGAGGCGGTTTTTGAGGTATTGAATGGTGATACATGATGGGGTGAGGGGATGGGATGCGATGGGTAATGTCTTATGAGTCCTGATTGATGCTTATGGTTCATGTCTTGTTTCGATGTGTCGTGATTTGAAAAGTGGGCTACTTGTAGAATGAATCAGAATGATGATATACAAGCTTGGTCGGGTATGGATCATATTGCATAATATTATACAAGAAGCTAGAAGGAATCCATGGCCGCAACTACTCCATACACCTGTAGAATCACTAGGCATATGCACGCAGACACGTTAGAACCCGAAGCTATCAAGCAATGAGTTCGCATCCGGCTCCTGAAACGTCGTCGGAGGGGGCTTCGGTTTCGGTTTCGGCGCCACCGCCGCTTGGATACTCTGTCGCAGGCCATCCTTGATCGGCAGGTCGGCCACCACCAGACTGCTTCGTCGTCGCAACATCTTGCGATAGTCCACGCCGTCGTCCAGTTCCAGCGGGGCGTTTTTGGCGGGTTGAGGCGAGGGAGGTCCGCCTAGGAACTCCCAGTGGCGGACCAAATCAAGAGCTAGTAGATCGCATCCCATGCGGTCGTATAACCGGGCATTGCGGATGATGAAGCTCCATTCTGCCTGCGCAGATACCTTCGAAGCTCCTTTCAAGGTCTGCAGCGTCTTTTCGCGCAGTTGTTTGTAGAGCACGACTAAGGCGGGGTCGTTGGACAGATAGGACTTCGCCTGCAGGGGAATGATTCCGGGGCTGCCGGGAGATGCCGGGGTCTCAGGGATAAGTGACTCGACGGGGGACTAAATGACAATGTTAATGCCTGTTCCCTTGTATGATGGAATCGACTTACAATCAGCGACCGAACGGCCTGGCCGCGACGACCCAGCATCCAAAAAGCCCACGAAGCCATCCACCGGTTGCCGTCAGCAGCAGCCTCCGGCAGGACCTTTTCTTCCAGGATTTCCTTCAACACGGGACCGTCATCTCCCTCATACGCACGTGTAATGGCAATGGCCAGCTGGAGATCGCCGACTTGATTGATGCAGACTAAAGCAGCATCCCGCAAATGGTCGGCAAGAAGGAAGAAAGTGGCCGCATATTCTACACACGTTAGCTAATGAACCGAGGTTGCAGTGGTAGACGCACCGAATCTTCGCTTTCCAAGCAACGCATATGCGTTCTTCAAAGCCGCCGTCTTCCATCGCTGTTCCTGAAAGTTGTTGGCAAGCAGTCGTTGCGTTGCACCTTGCTCGCGATTTCCATGCGCCATTCGCCAGAGACCCTGAAGAACGTTCTTCTTCTTCAAAGCGAGGTAGTACAAGGAGCAGTCGATCGGGTTCTTGTCTTCGCTCTTGGTATACTCGTTCCGAGCAACAACCTCCAGTTGGGCCCGCTGCACTTGTTAGCACAAGCCAATAAACCACAAGAGACTACGTACCACGGCAGCAGCATTCGACAGCCACATGAACATCCCACTCTCTCTAGCCGCTTTCCACGTCAACTTGCCGCTGAACTGTCGGGACACAAGGTCGACCAGGATGTCCTGACTGCCACTGTAAAAAGCCCAGACGATCTCTCGCCAGGACACCGTGTCTTTGTTCGCCACGCCTTGCGTCCGGCGCAGCATATGCTGCCGGAAAAAGAGAAGATACCGGGCAGCATTGTCATCCATCGAGCGCCGATGCTTTTCAACAGTCGCGACACACTCAATCGTGTCCACAAGACGGAATTGCTCTTGACTCGACAGCTGCGGTAGGGCGAAACGTGCCAGGTTCTCATTGAGTATCACAGCAGTATTCTCATCCACGACCGTGGACTCATCCTCCAGAGACAAATCTGCGTATGAGGAATTCATCTCTTTAGAAGTGGCTCGTTGCGGGGTCTAGAAGATTAGCTGCGTACTGAGACTGGTCCAAAAGACTTACATCATGTTCCACATAGAAATCTTCCAAAGGCATATCCAAGAAGCCATCAATGTCATCGCCCTCCGTGTGGAATTTGAGTTTCCGGTGAAGATTCATAAGGACAGAGTGCACCAGATTGTTCTTGCCACTCAGGATGCACTGTGCCAGGAACTGCGGGTGGAAGACAGGCAGCGGCCCATTCAATCGACTGACGACGTCGAATAGATCAACAGTAGACGACCCGCGGGCTGGGATGCGCAGCTGAGAGACCAGGTGATCCGCCGAGTCGATATCATTGCCATAAACAAACAGCTGGTTCCCCGCCCCGATGGCGAGACAACCATTACTCAACCAGCACGAATCGCCGATCGGATGTGGGGTGAGATCGCGGATCCAGATCTCGCGAATCTGCGTCCATGACGGGCGCGAGTCAAGGTAGTCATAACGAAGCTGCGAAAGAAGGATGACTTTATGCGGAAACCCGACGGCCAGGATCGATTGCATGTCTGGGGTCGACGTCCAGTCCAGGTCGCGGATGATATCGCCTGGTGAGAAATGCTCTTCAAATTCCAGCTGCGCATCATTCATGTCCCAGATCGTCAAGTGCGTGCGGTCTTCGTCCACCAGAGCAGCTTTCCTGATGGAGCTTCCGCTGGCAAGGGACGGGTTCGTAATGCCCGTCTCGACCGTCGAGGTCAACAGCCATTCGACGCGGCTCTTCTCCCTGTCGATCTTGGCCGTCCATGTGCGGACAATACCAGTCTTGGTATAGGAGAGCGCGATATCCGGCGAGAAGAGGTCAAAGAATCCAGACATTTCGGCTTTGCGGCCAGCTGGATCAACGGGCAATATGTAAGTAATGTCTTCTTCAATCCCCAAATGAAAAGTACAGAATTTCCGAAGCTGACATGGAGTCTGCTCAGTCGGGGGTCGGAATTCCCAGGCAATTCCATCCATGCTGGCCCCGATCGTTGCGACATATACGAACCCGTTCTTCTCGGCAGTAGGAATCGGCAGGACACACAGCGGTTTGCTTGACAGTTGGAACGTCGTAGCGGCCAACTTCTTGGCATGGAACGGACGGATATCCCAAAAAGAAATTCCATTGTGATGGAGGTTGACAAGAAAGTCTCCGTCTTCGAGCACACAGCTGCGATGAATATGCTCCTCGGAGTACAACGAGCTCTGGCGAAGAAGCACCGTGCCATGTTCTCGTTGCTTTTGTTTCCAGATCAACGCCTTGTTGTCATCCGTGCGCGAGGCCAGCGTATGGCCGATGGCATTACGAACAATCTTCTTGATGGGCCCGTTGTGTCCAGTCCAGGATGCCTTCATGGATATCCGATTCTGGCGCGGTGCGGGATCGAAGAACACATCAACTGGCGAATCAAACCACTCAATGCGGCCGTCAAAATGGTGGACCAAGACACTGATCGAGTCGCCCGGTTCTGCACCTTGGAATGCATATAATTGTGCATAATCTTCGTCCTGCGAGATTCCAGGCATCAAAGCGAAATTCAGTCCCTCCACATGCAAAATGTTGAACATGTTCATTTCGGATTTGGCCTTGGATCCGACATCTTCCAAGGCCCATGCCGACATATGCCCTTGCCCGTCAATCACCACACAAACTTCTGGGCTCTTGTTCGCAACTTCAATGATATGCTCCAGCGTGTGATTATCCTTGTTCCCGGTGCTCCTCTGCACCGCTCGCTCGGTGGCCATACAAAAATCCCGACTATCAACGATAAACCCATACCGGCGGGTTGTATCATGCTTGTCCGTCGCATGTCTCGGTTGAACTGAGGTCGCCATATCGATTTGCGCCCACAGTTGCAGGGCGGCCGGAGCATGGTGATCGATAGTCGCCCACACGCGGATCTTATTGTCCGCGCATAAGGTATAGAACACATTGTCCATAGATTGCTCCCGATGGTAGGGTCTCCGCCAATGTATCCCAGTAATGACCGTCGGATGAGGAAGATACGACACCTCAAACCGAATGTCCGTCCCGAACGCGAGTCGTCGCCACACCTTCAGCATACGGTCGTAATGTCCCGTGGTGACCAACAGCGTAGCGTCGGGCGAGAACCGCGCAAACTTGACCGGATTCGCTAGCTTCTGCTTCCAGACTTGCCGCGGGGTATCGTTCAAGAACCAGAGGGTGAGATGGGAGTTACCCAGCAGCAGCTCATCGGAGGAGCCCCAGGACAGGGTACGGATCGTCTCATTATCATCGGCGCTGCGAAACGTTTGCACTAGCGACCACTATCTCACATCCATCAGCATACAGCATACCCTCAATCCCTCCCAGAAATGGCGCCCATCCAGCCATCATCCATCCACCCAGGGACAACGGACCTTCAAAGTACCATACTGAACACCATACGGCTGATAGATAAACACGTCCGGCCCACCACAAACAGCAATCTTACCCGAGACTTCATCGATAATCACCGCCTCCAGGGCGTCGGTATCATCGACATAGATCGTTTGTAGGAGCTGATGCGGACCGCCGAGGATAACCAGTGCATGGCCGGAGATGTATGCCTGGAACGAGTGCAGAAACAATCAGCCAAATCCCACCTCACAAACACCAATGAAGCCAATCAAGTACTCTGGAAATCTTACCACAACGCGAAGCCCATCCCACAGCGCCGTGCTGAAAGCCTGGAGCTTCGTTGGGGGCCTCCCCGGCAGTACCGCTCGCATCGAGACGGTCGTGAAATCAAATAGTGGATGCGCGTGGATGCGCTCGCGCGGCGCTACACCATTGCCAGGTGGTGGCTTAAGAAATTATAATTCGAAAGGGATCGAGCGAGAGGGGTTTGGTTAGGCTATGACCGAAGGATTGGATCCGGGGGACACGACACGGGGCCAGCTCAGTTCCAATCGCTCTGGACGATCGCCACGGCCCCGTGATCTACACCGCCCGACGGTGGCTGCCATACCCCGGACTTCGTTTGCTATTGAGTAGAGAGGGATTGTTACTAGACCCTCTTTTGTGCAGGGTTAGCTGTGCTTTGGGTTGGGGTAATCCTGACTATTGCTACAATGGTTAGGGACTGTTGGTGAGGTTGGTGAGTGTCTAGTCGGTGCGTATGGTAATATCGAAGAGCTCCCTACGTCATGTCTGGTTGTGGGTGAAGAATCCAACCCAATCGGAGATCAATGTTCCTTGATCAACCGGGATACAACTTTGAATCTACACTTGTTAACGATCTTACACAAAGGTATCAAGATAAGCATGATCATGATGTCAATTCCAATATCCGATGATTCATCATAACCGTCTGGCGGTCCCAATCAACCACTCGAATCGAGTGTATATCCAATCACAGCAAGTAATCTACACCATGTCCTACGATGCAAAAGGGTATCAAGTCCTTCGGCCAAAATTGCCCATCCAAAACAAAAGAAACAAAACATAAACAAAGAGCAAAATGTACAGCCAAATCCTATACACGTCTCATGGTCGTCGGCTGGCCGATTTTCGACCATCGCTCGGCGACTCGGGTGGTTCTTCATCCACAAACCGGACACTGGTCCCGAGGGTGGTCCGGCGTCGGCTCGACGTCGTCCGCGGCAATATAGCTCCAGCGCGTAAGAGGCGACTGGCAAAGGGGGTGTATAAGGGAGTCGCCGGAGTGGTGGAAACCTGCGCCATGGCTCGCGCTCGTGCGGCGCGCTTGGACGGCGAGGTGAGGTAGTTGGGTGTTGCTAGGGGTGTGGTCGAGGCAGCTTGGGTGTCGACAACCAGTCCATTCGGTTTGAATGGCGTGGTGGTCTGGTACCAGGGATCGAAAATGCGTTGGTTCGTGTCGGTGCCGTATGCAGTCGCTCCGTCGTAGTTCTTCATCGGACTGACCAGAGGCCCTGGTGCGTCTCGCGACTCGGACTTGATTCGTGCTTTCTCCAGCCAATTGCGGAACATTCCGCGACAATGCTTCCTCAAGTTGCGCTCTTTCATGGCATCCGCCGTCTCGGCGCTGCTCTTGACCTGGAACACACGGAAGCTGAGCTTGCGGAGCTGGATGTTGGCCTGGCCTAGGACATGCACCCGGTTCATGTCGTTGGCCTGTTCCTGCTGACGCTGACTCACAAGCAACGCCTCGGTCCAGCGCGTCAATTGCTCGCTCACGATTTGATGCGCATAGTGATTATCAGCATAGTCACAGTCCTGGATCCGGTTGATCGTCTTGTCGTGCCATCGAATCAGTAGCTCAGATATCAAGGACAGGGAGTTCTGTCGCGAGATCTGTATGGCGTGCTGCTCCATATCCGTTACATGCTGGGACTTGGAGTGCCAATGCGACAAAGCCTTGGATGCAAGGGTGATCTTGATCTTCCTCCGAGTCTGGATATAGGCATCCTGGCGGCGCTTTTTGGCGGATTCAATGGTCGCTATGCGCCATTTTTTGGTGAATTTGGTAGCCAGAAAGTAAAACCGAGCGTTCTGAGCCCAGCCCCCGATCTTGACCAAATGCTGATACTTCGAACGCCAGACCACGAGCGATTCCTGCGCCAGGCGTGGGGCGTAAAATTCCGAGGCCACCATTTCTCGGTCACGCTGCAATGCTAGCTGATCCCGCCAGCGTTCCAGCTTGGATCGGAGTAGATCTTCGTTGCGTTGACCTTCAAATACCTCCGCGCGGTCGAGTAGTTCAGCATAAGTCCCCCGGACACTGGTGATAAACGTGGAGAAGACTTCACGCTTAATCCGCTGCTCCCTGATGCGCTGCATAAGACGGTATCGTTCTGCCAGGATCCATTTGTACATCGCTTCCAGCTTGAGCCGTTCCTCGATTCGTGCATAAAGAGCCTGGCAGCGAAGCAAATCATTCCACGTCGTCCACGCGTTGCGTAAGACCCGTTGTCGATCCATTTCCCTCGCCTGCTTCAGCATTTGGGCACGATGCACCCATTGTGAGTAAGCCGCTTGGAGGATGTGCGTATCCACCATTCTGGAGACGCGGGAGGCCACCGGCGCTAGATGAGCTTGAGCCTTCCATTCCACAAATGTTTCCTCCAGAAGCTGCCGACGCTCAACTGATACTGCCTGTTGCTCGGTAGCAATCACACCTCGGGTTCTTTGGAGCCAAGCCTGCCATATTGAACCCATGGCATGCTGTTTATTCCTGACTTCGATTTCATGCATACACTCTCTGTTTGTTCGAAACTTGCGCAACCAATACAGTAGCGAGCGTCTCTTCAGGCAATAATCGTACCATTGCGGGGCACGATGTTCGCAAAAACTCCAAAACCATTGCCAGTAGAAGGTATTTTTAGATTTCTCGCTACTGATAGCGACAGCCTTCGCCTGGTCCTCCTTGATCTGCTTGGTCTTTTTCAGCCATGTATTGAACGGCCTTCGCATAGCAAAGCGCTGGGCCTTCAGTTCGTTGACCGCGGTGATCTCGCGCCATGCTTGAAAGTATTTGACGCCAAGAATATGGCGCCGCGCCGCAGAGGTTCTCGCGACTTCATCTGATGTGAGTTGTGCCCAATGGGAGAACGCCTTGGTGAGGAGAAAGAGATCCCGAGCCCGTCCAGCGCGCTCTTCGAGGCGTTTGAAGAATCTCTCCGTCCGTTCCGTCTGGCGTCTGTCTCGAATGATCGTATGCCATGTTTCGAAGGCTTGGCGAAGCAAGGTATACCGGTCTCGATTAACCGCGACAATTTCCATGTTTTGATGGCTTTGCCTGGCTTGAATAGCCCGTTTTACCCACTGAGTGAGAACTCGGCGGTTGATTGCGCGTTGCCGATACATATTGAATGTCGACGCATCCCGCAATAAATCCGACAGGGACGGTCTATATAGCATTTCTGGGGGCATCTCCGGTCGGTCAATGTGATTGATGCCCTCTTCCTCGGAGGACACCGACGATCCCTCCTCCTCTGAGCCATCGGATGAAGCTTGTGAGCGCCGCGCACGTGAGCTTTCAGCTATTCTTTCCGAGCGATCGCGGTCGACGGCAGATCGGGCATATAATCCGTTGGGGAGAGGCTTCTCGTCCACCACTTTCGCTGGAGCAGACGACTGCGCCGCTAGGAGGTCCATCCGACTCATAAGCCGGCGACCTACTTCAATGAACTGCGCCATCAACTGGGTTCGGTCGGGCGATTCGGTCTCTCGAGAAGCTACCGCACGCTTCGGGGACGGCGACGGTTTCGAAAACGGATACTCGGGCTTGCCGACTTCCAGTCGCGACATGGACGATCGCGAGCTTGGACGATTGATGAAGCTCCGTTGCGTAGGATCGTCGCCAACATCGTACATGCTGTTAAAAGATGCTCGTCTCCGTAGAGGTGTCTGCGTTTGAGGCCGGGGCTGTGTCGAGTCTTCTCGAGTATCACGGATCCTCCGCCTCGGCCTACTCTCGATCGATGGCACACTATCCGCATACGTTTCATCGTAACCATCATCTTCGCCGAATTCGATAACGATGCCCATCCGTTCTAACAAGTTCTCGAACTTCTCAAAGAGCGAGGTCCCTACGGCATCTTTGCTTCCCATTTTGAGCAAGAAGCGCATGCAGGCATAGCCTGGATCCGCATCCACGCCATGTTCCGCAATAACCTCATCGTAGGCATTGAACAACACTCGGTACGGGAGGCGCTCGACTTCTGGGTCCCGCTCGGCGCGGGTAATGACTTGGTAGAGGAGACCGACATCTACGGGGGAAAACACGGGGGAAAACTATTAGTACAACGGGGAACCCTATCCACGGGACAACGGAGGAAGAAGATGCGACGGCATACCTTCATCAGTAAGCGAGGGGTCTTCGTAGGACAAAGGTCTTCGCTGAAGGGGAACGGGAGGCATCGAACTGTCCGCGGCCTAAGGCGCGTTTTTCGCATCTGGGTCATGGAGGCGGAGCAGGAAATCAACCATTGCGAGGCACACGGTTGGGGTGGGAGACAGCGGCCCACAGTGGTCGAGGCTGAGAGTCAAGTCGACCGCACGAGGGATCCCAAATGGACCGATGGACCCAATGGCACGGCCAGCGACAAGTCATTGGCTTTTTGGGGCGCCCCCAAGTTGTTTTTCGGTCGTGTCGCGCCGGCGATGGAATGTGTCGGTCAGGTGATGTCTTACGTAACCGCCGCTTTTTCGTGGCCGTCACAAACAACATCCCAGAAGCCTGTTGCTATAGCATCCGCTCACTGATCACGTACCATGGCGTCGACCAAGACACGGCCCATCGAGAAGTTTGCAAAGGCCGCCTCCAAGTGCTCGGCAGAGGTATGTGTCCCTCTGTTGGTTTCATTGTCGGCCTGCCCTCGCCGAGTGCACACTGACGGACGGCTTCCAGGCGGCCGCGTACGGCAAATGCGTGGTGGCTGATTACAATGCCGTGCAGAAAGACATGTGCGCTAAGGAGTTCATGAAGCTCAAGGACTGCTTCTTGGTAGGGTCGACATTGACTAAGCGCGTACACTGCTAACTGGACTCAACAGGCAGCCTCCAAGAAACCTTAATGGTGGTGGGGTTGCAGAAGAGCTACGTGGATTAGGCGCACTGGGGTTGGCGTTCGCCCGGACGGCGGTGTCCATAGGAAGAAAAACTTATCATTTGTAGAAATCATCATAGACATCATAAACATGTGTAATTTTATTCAGCAAACTAGCAAAACACAAGCTTCGTAATCGGTGGATATTGTATGGTCTAAGCTACCAACATCGCGGGGTTAATTGACCAAAGTCTACAACTTCAACAAACGCAACAGGAAGGTTGCCTTTTGGACTTCCTGCTCCTCCTGGATGATCATCTCCGGCTCGTCACCGCTGGGCAGCTTGCCATCCACAAGCTCATACCGGTCGAGCGGTCTGCGCACAACCTTCTCGATGGCCTGGGCCTGCGTCTCGAAAGCCTTGCTGATGCCGACATCCTCGGGGTCAGACAGGACGACATACTCCATCTTCACGTCGTCGGTGGGGACAAGACCCGCCTTCTTACGCAGACGCTGCAGACGGTTGATGATCTCACGGCCCAATCCTTGCTCGGCCAACTCGGGGTACAGGTTGGCGTCGAGAATAGTCAGCGCATCATTGTCCGTGTTCGGCTCCATGTTCGCGGACGACGGGTCCTCCTTGAGGCCACGTTTCACGACCAGGTCGCCTTCAACCAGCTCGATGCCGTCAACAAGCATCTTCTTGTCCGCAACGAACTTCTTCACATCCTCGCTGGTAAGGGATGGCAAGGCCTTCTTGACCTTCTGGACCTCCTTCTTGAGCTTCTTACCCAGCGTCGGCCAGTCGGCAGTCACGCTGTACTGGACATTGTACGTAGCCTCGTCAGAGGTCAGGACAAGCTCGAGAATGTTCAGTTCCTCGAGAATGTAGCTCTGCAGAGACTTGACATCGTCCAGGTACTGCTGGTCCTGGTGGATGACGACGAGCGTCTTCAAAGGAGTCTTCAGGCCAATGTTACGGCGCTCACGGGAGATACGGGCCATATCGATGACCTTCTGCATCCGGGACACACGTCTCTCAACGACCTCATCGAAGAGCTCCTCCCGGACCTCGGGGAAAGGAAGGAAGTGCACACTGCGGCTGTCCTCGCTGCGGAGCGCCTCAGGGATGTGGGGAAGAAGTTTGAGGTAGATGGTGTCGGTAAGGAAAGGAGTGAACGGAGCCAGACCACGGACCAGAGTGTAGAGAACCTCGAAGAGGGTGTTCAGGGCGTGCTGGGTGTCATCAACACCATTCTCACCCTTGAGACGTCTGCGGTTGAAGCGAATGTACCAGTTCGTGGTGTTGTCAATCAACTCCAGCAAGCGAGGAACGACCGTGTACAGGCGGTACCCTGCCATCTCCTCGTTCACGAACTTGAGGAGACTCTGGCAACTAGCCAGGATCCAGCGGTCCATGACGTTGGTGTTGGTAGCCTCGGCCTTCGGGTCAAAGGTGTAGTCAAAGCCCTGAGTCTTCTTGAACAAAGCGGCCTGGCCCTCAAAGAACTTGTAGCTGTTCCAGAGGGGAAGGAGAACCTTGGCGACGATCTCCTTGACACCGGACTCCTTGAACCGAAGGGGCTCTGCGCGCACAACAGGGGAGTTGATCAAGTAGAGACGAAGAGCATCGGAACCGTAACGGTCCATCACCAGGGAGGGATCGGGGTAGTTCTTTAATCTCTTGGACATCTTCTTACCATCTTCCGCAAGGACAATACCATTGACGACACAGTTCTTGAAGGGAAGCGTACCGAAGAGGTGGGTACCCAAGACGGTCAGGGTGTAGAACCAACCACGGGTCTGGTCGAGACCCTCGGCGATGAAGTCACCGGGGAAGCTCTTCTCGAACTGTTCCTTGTTCTCGAATGGGTAGTGCTGGGATGCGTAGGGCATGCTGCCAGACTCGAACCAACAGTCGAAGACCTCACTCACACGGCGGAGGACACCCTTGCCCTGCTTGCTCGGAATGGTGATGTTGTCGACCTTGTCGCGGTGGAGGTCCGTGAGTTCTCCCTCGTAGCCACTGAGCTGCTTGAGCTCTTCGGCGCTACCAACAGCCACGATCTCCTTGTAGTCATCGCTCACCCACAAAGGCAGAGGGGTACCCCAGAAGCGGTTTCTCGAGATGTTCCAATCACGGGCATTCTGGATCCAGCTAGAGAATCGTCTTTCCTTGACAAAGCTAGGCACCCAGTGGGAGTCATCGATGCCCTGGAGCATCTGAGAGATGATAGGGCCGATCTTGACGAACCACGCGGGCACGGCCCGGTAGATCAAGGGGGTGTCGGAGCGCCAGCAGAATGGGTAGCTGTGAGTAATCTGGCTGTCGACGATCAAGCGACCAGCAGCCTTGAGGTGCTTGATAATGCCCCTGTCGGCCGCCTTGACGTGTTGGCCTTCGAAATCCTTCACTTCGGCCGTGTAGCAACCCTTTTCGTCGACGGGGTTAGGGGGAAGTCGAGATTCGCTAATGACGCCTCCCTCCATGCCAACTCGGTAATCGTCCTCACCAAACGCAGGAGCCTGGTGGACAATACCGGTACCATCCTCAGCAGTGACGTACTCGGCGTTCAGCACCCGGAAACCGTGCTCCTTGAACTCTTCGTAGAAGTAATCGAAGAGGGGCTTGTACTTCCAGTCTTTCATGGCAGCACCCTTGAACCGGTCGACGATCTTGAACTTGGCCTTCTTGGGATCCTTGTACAGGGTCCGGAGCAGAGACTCGAGGATGATGTAGTGCTTTCCAGAAGCCTCATCAAGGATCTTGATATATTCAAAGGTGGGGTTAACCGCAAGAGCGATGTTGGAAGGCAGGGTCCAGGGGGTGGTCGTCCATGCAAGAAGGGAAGTCTCGGGATCCTCCACCAGGGGGAATGTGACGACGACGGCAGGATCTTGCACATCCTTGTAGTTCTGCTGGGCCTCGAAGTTACTGAGAGGGGTGTTGAGGGCGGTCGAGTAGGGCATCACACGGTAGCCTCTGTACACGAGGTCCTTGTCGAAGAGCTGCTTGAAGACCCACCACACTGATTCCATGAAGCCCACGTTCATGGTCTATGACTAAGTCAGCATGTCGCGGCAAATCAATGAATCCAAGACTATGGAAAGAGAACAGCAGCGCAGATCGAGAATATCTCATCGAGGATCTGGAGAAATTCTAAAGACGAAAGCCCGAGGTAAAGAACACACCTTGTAGTCGTTGTCAAAGTCAATCCAACGACCCAGTCTCTCAATAGTCTGGCGCCATTCCGAGGCGAATCTCATGACAATGGCTCTGCACTCCTCGTTATATTTTTCAATTCCAAGCTTCTCGACAGCCTCCAGGCCCGACATGCCGAGTTTCTTGTCGATCTCGTACTCGATGGGCACACCATGGGTATCCCAGCCAAAGCGACGCTCGACATAGTGACCCTTCATCGACCAGTAGCGGGGAATGATATCCTTGATGGTGGAGGCCAACAGGTGACCATAGTGAGGCAGACCGGTTGCGAACGGAGGGCCATCGTAGAAGGTGTAAGGTTTACGGCCTTCGGAGAGCTCGACCTGCCTCCGGAAGGCGTTGATCTCCCTCCACCTCTGGAGGATGACCTCCTCCTCGTGGGGAAAATCAATGGACATGACGGGCGGGAGGGAAGGGCAGGAGGAACTGAGTTGATACGATCTTCCAGGGAGGGATCCGCGGGGTAGATTTAAGCCCAAGGTGCGCACAGCGGCAGAATCGTTGACTCACCCCGCGCACCGATTTTTTGTTCCCGGCAGCCAATCAACGCCGGCCCCGCCTACCGCCGGAAGAGGGTTCGGTCTCCGTCGATCGACACTAAATAGTGAGTGATACTATAGTGCTACACCCCTATGACTCTATGTACAAACAAAGGAACAACACCGGCTTACATGGCATGGCTGTGACTCATGAAGCAAGCCAGTGCCTTCATTATCTGCCTGGCGAGTGACGAGAAAAATGTATCCAAAATTGTCACTCATGGCGTCTACGCCTTGAGCAGGTTACAGGCTCTGCCTCCCTTTAAGCAGTCTCGTCCTCATCCTCGTCCTCCCCATCTTCATCCTCATCCTCATCCTCATCTTCGTCTTCATCTTCGGCCTCGGATACTTCCTGTCCGAGATCCTTCAAACGTTGCTATGGGACACAATGAGTCAGATGCGTAACTGTAACAGGGACAGTTGGCTTACCTTGTCCTGGCTTCTCTTGGCTTCCAGATCTCCGAAAACAATCAGCAGATCCTCCAGCTCAGATTGTGCTGCTTGACGGGCTTCTTCCTTCTCCTTGGCCTCGGCCTGGGCCTTCTCGAGCGCTTTCCGGGCCTCATCAAGAGCTTCGGCGGCCTTACGTGCAGCTGCCTCTGCCTTTTCGACATCGCTTTCGGCTTTCTCAGCTCGCTTCTCCAATGTAGTGCACTTGGAGGTCAGTTCATCGTGTGTGGACTGTAGATCTTGTGTAGACTTTTCTTTGGCGGCGTCCAGTTCTGACTGTAGGGTCAATGTCGCAGATTTGAGATCAGCAACCTCAGTCTCATGCTGCTTCTTAACAGCGTCCATGTCAGACTGAAGAGCCTGGATGGTTTCCTTGAGACTGGACACTTCAGATGCGTGACTCTCTATGCCATTCTCAATCTCAGACCGGAGGTTCTGAATCGTTTCAGTCAGGTCAGAGACTTCATTTGCGGTTTGCCCCCTGCTTGCATCAATCTCCGACTGCAACTGATGGATCGTCTTCTTCAAATCCGAGACCTCGAATTCATGTTGTCCTTTGCTGGAATCAATCTCAGACTGCAGCTGCTCAATCGTCTTGTTCAGAGCGGAGACTACGGACTCATGTTGTCCTTTGCTGGAATCAATCTCAGACTGCAGCTGCTCAATCGTCTTGTTCAGAGCGGAGACTACGGACTCATGTTGTCCTTTGCTTGCATCGACCTCGGACTGCAGTTGCTCGATCGTCTTATGCAGACCAGAAACCTCAGAAGCATGCTGTCCTTTGCCTGCTTCGAGTTCCGATTGTAACTTCTGAATAGTAGCATTCAACTCAGAGAGTTCGGCGGCATGTTGTCCCTTGCTAGCATCAAATGCCGCCTGGAGATTCTGAAGCGTGCTGTTCAGGTCCAAGACCTCCGCCACATGTTGTCCCTTGAGCTTTTCTGCCTCCGACTTCAGGGCTTGAATAGTCGTCGTCAGGCCAGCAACATCACCGGAGTGCTGGTCCTTGGCACGATTAAGATCGGATTCGAGTGCCCGGATCTTCTTCTGCAAGTCAGCAACCTCAGCTTCGTGATGCTCCTTTACCCGGAGACTTTTCCTCTCATGATCTGCGGATGTCTCCTTCAGCTGCCGGTCAATAGCTCGAAGCTGCTCACCGTGTTGCTTCAACAGCACATTTTGAGCGTGTCTCTGCTGTTCCTTCAAAACTGCCAACTCCTGTTCGTGACTCTTTTTCAATGAATCACAGATCTGCTGCAGCTTGGAAGACTCTACTGTAGTAGCATCTCTTGTCTTTCGGTGCTCAGCCTGCTCCTGCTCTAGCTTGGACTGCAGAGCAAGTAGATCTGACTCTAGCTTTTGCGCTGCATTGCCTTTCTCTTCAAGTTCTGCCCGAAGAGAGTCGACTAGTTCGCGGGACACTCCCCTTTCAACCCCATTGGTGATCACAGATATTTCCATTTCTGGTTCACGGTCAATTGCACGAATCAATCGACTAAAGTGGTCTTTGAGGAATTCAACAAATGTCCTGTCGAAATAGATCTCAGGCAGACCACCGTCATACTGTGCCCCCACCGTCTGTGGCAGGACCTCAAAATCACGTACCAGCGGATCTTCTCTGAATCGAGTGATCCGATCAATGTACTGTTCCCTTCCCAGTTGCTCGATCAACAACTTATGCAAGGTTTTGCGGGGTATCGGCGAGTCCTTGGAAGAAAACTCATATACGATCCCCAGTAGAATTGTGCAGAGACCGGGTACAAGCACATTGGTAGCGCCACGATGCTTGATTTCCTGCAGTAAAGTTTGTATGCTGCTGCCCTCGCCCAAAAAGTCATTTACAGCGTCCGGTTCTTCAAACAACCACCCGCAAAGCAACATCAGGTAACCAAGAGTGATTCTTTCATCATCACCTCGCTGTATCCCAGTGATGAGATTGCCCACTATCGTCTGGATGCAAGTAATGACTTCTTCGCCTTGCTCGGCATCTCCCTCGGTCACTCCCATTGCTATCGCTTTGGCTTCGGCGTTCTCGAACAGCAACTGGTACATCAGAACAGAGGCCATCCAGGTCTGATACGGGTCGCCATTGCCTCGAGCTTCCGGTGGCGTCAACAGGACAGACAAAATGTTCGGGATCTGGTCCTCTCCGCTAACATGACCCTGGATTGCTCTTCCTAGCACATGGACTCGGATCCCGGAGTGGTTTGCGAAGAAGGCCTTGACACATTCGCAGGCGGCAAGTCGGGCATCCAGGAGTGATACCGGGGCAGGCTCAAGTGTAAGCTTCAGTAGTGCTTCGATCACGTTTATCCGATGGAGGTCCTTAGGTGCCGTGTCGCCGTTGGCTGCATTCTGGACAGGATTTGGGCCCCAGATGACTTCGACGTCACCGAATCTCTCTTGCAGTGGTTTATTTCCACGAATCAGGTCGGCACAGGTCGCCAGTGCCTGAACTGGTCAGCTGTAGTTCCACGGTATTGCTCAATGTCACCTACTTTGGATGTAACATTGACATTGAACCTTTGACCAAAGGCCGTGTTTAGAACTTGTTCCATAACACCATTGTTCCAGAATGCCATCTGATTGGCAGGGGTGTTGATTCCACCTTTGATGAGGAAAAGCTGGATGATAACTAAGAGACCCCAGAGATTCTTATCACGATGTGCGAGAGCCCACTGCGGAGTGGGCTCCTCAGACTCCTGTTCTTGATTGGCATCTGTCAGAAGCTTCGCTAACCGCTTCACGCAACCCATCTCCCGGAAGTATGACTGGTTAGAGATGTTAAGCCTCAGGAGGTTTGCAAGTAAGGAAAGGCAGTCTTCAACCACCTCCGACCCGTGTCTCAAAGCGCCTTCTGCCTCTATCAAGGTGAAGATGAGTTCAAACGCATTCTCAAAGGCGACGAGCTTTTGGAACTCTTCCGAGGCCGGAGTCAGAGCGATAAGGAGGATCAAGGCTTCTACTCAGTCCGCACTCATGATTAGCAAAGGACCAATAATCCCCCGGAGTTCAAGGAAAGCTCAACGTACCATTGCGCACCGGCTCTCGAGCATCTCCCAGCGCACTGACTAGCCTTGGGATACCCAGCGGGGCAGTGAGAATACATTCCTGCGTTCTTTCTGGTCGTGCACTCGAGATTTGGAACATCAACTGTAAAGAATACAAGCGAGAATAGAAGTCTCGATTCTCTAGGAGGTCGAGGAGCGCAGTGATATTGTCTTGTCGCTTCAATCCGTCAGCAGATATAGGTCTCCACAGGTAGCAGTACGAACCTGCGTGAACTCATCGGACAGCCAGAGGGCTATTTCATCTGATGCTTCGGGCTAGATAGCGCACATCAGCATGTGTTGCAGACACATCCAGCTCAAGAGACCACCAACACTATTTTCATCCGGGGTAAATAGCATCAACAAGGTCTCCAAGACCACCTTCAAGGTATCCACGTCTTCGCGGTCATTTCTGAGGCTGCTGATCAACGGGCGGAGTGCGCCCGACGCAACCGAGGCGGGAAAGGTCTTTGCAAAGCTTCTCAATCCTTGTATCGCTGCCCGTCGGTCCTCTAGTAGGGTTGCACTCTGTAGTCGACTAGTCAGAGTGTTGATTGTGTCTGTGGCCGTTTGTTTGGCCGGCGCCTGCGATTCGAGGATTCGGAACATCGCAACTGGTAGCTCGTAATTTCATGGTCACCGCCGGCCGGGGGCGTAGCAACTTATAGGCATTGGATGACGGGAGGGAGAGGCGTGGGTGAATCAGCCAGCTGAGTTGTACTCTCCGACGCTGCAGCGGCAGCAATGGTGGTGGTGGGCAGTATCTACTCCGCGGATTAAGGGTCGTGGGAGTAGACAAATAAGCCGCAATTATTATGATCGATGTGTCCCCCATACTAGTAATTGAGTAGTGGCCGGGTGAGCCACGCCAAGGACCCGCTAGTCTCTGCCGGAACCGCGACAAGAGAAGCGCCGAGATCTCGGATTTCCATTGTCTGGCAAGTCAACCCGGCTTGCGATCGCAGAGACTTCCAAGCCTCCGCCATCGCCCTTCCCCTCTTGACCGGGCCGATTCTTTTCGCCAGCTTTGCGCACCGTGTGGGATCGCGTTGAAGGAGTGTTACCTTCACTTTTCTCCCAACCCGGAATCTGTCACTAGTCATTGCTGCAGCGACTCGGAGGTTGACATAGCCGATGCAGCGCATCAGCAATACATCTTAAATTGCTAGATTTACATACGTATATTTGTACAGACATCTGTTCCGTTATATTCAGAGTCACCAGTCATCATGGGTGTCCCCGCGCTTTTCAGATGGCTTTCCAACAAGTACCCCAAGATTATCTCCCCCGTTATCGAGGAGCTTCCTTCCGAAGTCAACGGCGAAGAGGTCCCCGTGGACACCACGCGTCCTAACCCCAATGGAGATGAGATGGATAATCTGTACTTGGATATGAACGGTATTGTTCACCCATGTACTCACCCGGAAGGAAAGCCTCCGCCGGCGAACGAGCAGGAGATGATGCTCGAGATCTTCAAGTACACCGACCGGGTGGTGAACATGGTCCGCCCAAGGAAGCTTTTGATGATCGCTGTTGGTATGTTGCACTACTGTTGTACGGGCTTCTTCGCTGATTTCATGACTAATGTGTACGTTTCGTGATCTAGATGGTGTCGCACCACGCGCAAAGATGAACCAGCAACGAGCCCGTCGTTTCCGCTCAGCACAGGAAGCCAGGGAGGCGGATGAGAAGAAGGAAGAATTCCGGAAGATGCTCGCAAAGCAGAACGGCAACAAGGCAGATGCAGATATCCAGGAGCAGGTCATCCAGAAGACATGGGATAGCAACGTCATTACGCCGGGAACGCCATTCATGGATATTCTTGCTGCGTCGTTGCGCTACTGGATTGCTTACAAGCTTAACACCGACCCCGCTTGGGAAAAGGTCAGTCAGCGTCCTGCCTGTAGTGTCGCTATTACTGACTTGTGCAGCTCAAAATCATCATTTCTGATGCGACTGTTCCGGGTGAAGGAGAACATAAAATCATGGAGTTTGTCCGGTCGCAGCGCGCGTCACCAGAGCATGATCCGAACACCCGCCACGTCATCTACGGATTGGATGCTGACTTGATCATGTTGGGTCTTGCTACTCATGAGCCATACTTCCGGGTTCTGCGCGAGGACGTGTTCTTCCAGGAGTCAAGGGCCCGGACATGTCGACTATGTGGTCAGGCCGGCCACAAAGCGGAGGAATGCAGAGGCCAGGCAAAGGTGAAGAATGGCGAGTTCGATGAGAAGGGCAAAGGTTCCTCGCTCAAGCCGTTTATTTGGCTCAATGTCTCCATCCTTCGGGAATATCTTGCTGTGGAACTCTTTGTTCCGCAACAACCATTTCCTTTCGATCTGGAACGTGCTCTGGATGACTGGGTCTTTATGTGCTTTTTCGTAGGAAATGACTTCCTTCCACACTTACCGTCATTAGACATCCGTGAGAATGGCATCGACACACTGATAGCTATCTGGCGCGATAACATTCCCGTCATGGGCGGGTATCTGACCGAGGATGGGCATGTTGACCTCAAGCGGGCCCAGCTCATCCTTCAAGGGCTTGCCAAGCAAGAGGATGCTATTTTCCGTCGTCGTAGACAAGCAGAGGAGAGAAAGGCTGCCAACGAGAAGAGGCGCAAGCAAGAACAACAGGCGCGCAATGATGAGCATGCCAGGAAGCGGAGGAGAAGCTCTCCTAATTACGAAGCCCAGGATGCCCCGATGGCTAATCCAACGACCAAGTCTCGCGGGGGCTCTGATGCGGCACCTCCCAGTGCAGTGGAACTCATCACGCCCGCGCGGGGAGAGTTGACACGCGAGGCGAGGCAGTTGACTCACAGCATGGTGACTAACCGCGGTGCTGTGTACAAAGCCAATATGGCCAACAAGAGTGCCGCCGCCATACTCAAGAGCAAGCTCATGAAAGGCCCGCAGAGCGATGAGCCCTCCGATAACACGGGGGAGTCCGGTTCCGAAGCGGCTGAACCTGCTGAACCTTCCGACGAGCAACCTGAAGATCAAACCTCTCCTTCGGTCCTCGGTAAGAGAAAAGCAGGCGCGGTGGAAGAGGAGGCCGCTACGACCCCGACCAAGAAGCCATCGGCAGCCCCCGGTAACTCTCAAAACGATGAGCTGCCTCCGGACACCGTCCGCCTCTGGGAAGAGGGCTATGCGGATCGCTACTACGAGCAGAAGTTTGGGGTTGATCCTAAAGATACGGAGTTCCGCCACAAGGTTGCACGGGCCTACGCGGAGGGTCTGGCCTGGGTTCTGCGATACTATTTCCAGGGGTGCCCTTCTTGGACCTGGTACTACCCCTACCACTATGCCCCGTTCGCCGCCGACTTTGTGGACATTGGCGACATGGAGTTGAACTTCGAAAAGGGAACCCCATTCAGACCCTTCGAGCAGCTGATGGGAGTCCTTCCGGCGTCGTCCAACCATGCCATCCCCGAAGTCTTCCACGATCTCATGAGCAATCCCGACAGCGAAATCATCGACTTCTACCCAGAAGACTTCCCCGTGGACTTGAACGGCAAGAAGTTCGCTTGGCAGGGTGTGGTTCTGCTTCCTTTCATCGACGAGAAGCGACTACTGGATGCCATGAATAAGAAATACCCTCTCCTCTCAGATGAAGAAAAGCTCCGCAACTGCGTGGGTCGTGAAGTGCTGTTGATCTCGGAAAGCCATCCACTGTACCAGGATCTGGTAGCCAACTTCTATTCCAAGAAGCAGGGTGCTCCGAAATACGACATCAACCAGCGCATCAGCGAGGGGTTGGCCGGTAAGGTTGAGCGCAACGAATCGTACATCCCCCACAGCTCCCTGGTGTCCTCGCTCGAGGAATTCGGCATGCCAACTTTGGAGGATGATCGTTCTCTCACGTAAGTCTCCCGTTTATGCAACGATCCTTGTACAATTGGCTAACCAGCAACCCTTGGAACAGCGTCAACTACGAAATCCCCAAATCGTCGCACATTCACAAGTCCATGCTCCTTCGGGGCGCCAAACTGCCGCCGCCGGCCCTTGACAATGGAGATATCCAGGCTATCAAGTCCAAGGCGCAACACTCGGGCCGATCCTTTGGAGGCGCCCCATTCCGCAATGGACGGGGTGGCCGCATCCATTATGGCAGTGAGCGACCCAACAACAACGAGCGGCCCAACCCGTTCGCGGCGCACCTCGACCCCAAGTTTATGCCTCCAGGGAATGCCGGTGCCCCGATGGGCATGCCTTCCGGATGGACGCCTCCGGGTGCCGGGTCTGGCGGGGGTTACAATCGTGGGCCACCTCCTCCCCCTCGCGGAGGTATGTCCAATGCTTACCAGCGACCTTACGGCGGTGATTCGTATAACCAACCCAATGCACCTACGGGTAACTACGACTACTATGGTCGAAGCCAGCAAGGGTACTACCAGCAGGGATCGTACGGTGGTGGTGGTGGTGGTGGAAACCAGGGCAACTACGGCAACCAGTACCGCGGACGGTCATCCAACTATGACCAGCGCGGTGGGTATGGCCGCGGGGGATATCAAGGCCGGGACCACTATTCCTCCCGAAACTCTGGTGGTGGGGGTGGATATGGACGGTATTAGGATCCTCAAGAATATTTAGATTAGGTTGACGGGTCGGTCGGGCTGGTGCTCGGGCCGTCAGTCATGCACGATCCAGGGTTTTGCGCGTTGCCATGTTGATTTCGTGAGAGTTGTCTGTTCTCTATGACTATGTGAGGGGGGCTGGAGAAAAGGCCAACGGGACGGCGTTCAATTGGATAATTCTGGGATTGATTTGTACATCAATGAAAAGACTCGCGCGCGATGCGAACGAAGAATGCCCCAACCATGTAACTGTAGACCTCTAGATGCCTCAGGTGGTTCGGATCCGGGGAGTCTGGGCATCGTGAAGGCTCACCCGCCCGGAGGATTCGCGGATTTGTAAATATTGGACAGCTTGACGTGATCCTGCGGTTTTTACTGGATCGTCGAGAAGGTAACACGAGAGTCAGCTCATCATCAGATTGAGTGGCCATTGCAGGCCCTGAAGTTACTCCGGTGGAGGCACTGGAGGGTGAACTGCAGGGCGGGCGCGACGACATCGGAGCGGGAACGGGCAAAATAATACGAAGGGCGGAAAAAAACGAGTGAGTCAACGACTCAATTGCGACTCCGGTGGATCTTGGCCGGTCTGCCAACCCAATAAAATTCCCCCCATTCTTCTTCATCCCCTCGCGCCTTTCTGGTTCCTATCGACGTCCCTCTCGCTCGCTGCTGTCTTCACTGACCAGGCGGATTCAACCCCGCTGTCAAACAAGGTCTTACCCCGTTCCCTCAGGTATGCTTGTCCTTGCTTTGCTGTTTGTCTCACTTGATGCATTGCTCGCAATCGAACCGCATGGAACCCACCCCCCGCCAGATGCTTACCAGTCCATCATCCACAGCATGAATTAGGTAGAGACAAGGCATCTTTCCCCAAGTTGACCACGTCTCCGTCCGTTGCGAGCCTTCCGAACGATGGCCGAACCCACAAAGATCAGCATTCTGGGTCGGGAGAGCATCGTCGCTGATTTCGGACTCTGGCGCAATTATGTCGCCAAGGACCTGATCAGCGGCCTGGCCTCCACGACCTACGTTCTCATCACCGACACCAACATCGGTTCCCTCTACGCCCCCAACTTCCAGAAGGCCTTCGAAGAGGCTGCTGCCGCCGTCTCCCCCAAGCCTCGCTTGCTCATCTACCATGTCGCCCCCGGTGAAGTCTCCAAGTCCCGACAGACAAAAGCCGATATCGAGGATTGGATGTTGAGCCAGAGTCCCCCATGCGGTCGTGATACTGTCATCATTGCTCTGGGCGGCGGTGTCATTGGAGACCTGACCGGTTTTGTCGCGGCCACCTACATGCGCGGCGTCAAGTACGTGCAGGTCCCGACGACCCTCCTCGCCATGGTGGATTCTTCCATTGGTGGAAAGACCGCTATTGATACACCATTGGGTAAGAACCTGATCGGAGCCATCTGGCAGCCGTCGAGAATCTACATTGACCTGGAATTCCTGGAGACGCTCCCCGTCAGGGAGTTCATCAACGGCATGGCGGAGGTGATCAAGACCGCCGCCATCTCCAGCGAGGAGGAATTCACAGCGCTGGAGGACAACGCGGAGACAATCCTGACTGCCGTCCGTCGGGTAGTCCAACCCGGCCAGCACCGCTTTGCGGGCATTGAGGATATCCTGAAGGCCCGCATCTTGGCTTCGGCCCGTCACAAGGCTTACGTCGTCTCTGCGGACGAGCGCGAGGGTGGTCTCCGGAATCTGCTCAACTGGGGCCACTCTATTGGACACGCCATCGAAGCCATTTTGACCCCTCAGGTTCTCCACGGAGAATGTGTCGCCATTGGTATGGTGAAGGAGGCTGAGCTGGCCCGTCACCTTGGCATCCTGAAGGGCGTTGCGGTTGCGCGCATTGTCAAGTGCCTCTCTGCCTATGGCCTGCCAACCTCCCTGAAGGATTCGCGGATCCGGAAGCTCACCGCTGGTAAGCACTGCTCTGTCGACCAGCTGCTCTTCAACATGGCTCTCGACAAGAAGAACGACGGCCCTAAGAAGAAGATTGTGCTGCTTTCGGCGATCGGACGCACCTACGAACCCCGCGCCAGCGTCGTCCCGAATGAAGATATTAGCGTCGTTCTGGCTCCGAGTATCGAGGTGCACCCGGGCGTTGCCCCCTCCTCAAAGGTCATCTGTACGCCTCCCGGCTCCAAGAGTATCTCGAACCGCGCTCTGGTTCTGGCCGCTTTGGGTTCGGGAACCTGCCGCATCAAGAACCTGCTGCACTCCGACGACACCGAGGTCATGCTGAACGCTTTGGAGCGTCTGGGCGCTTGCACTTTCTCCTGGGAAGAGGAGGGCGAAGTGCTGGTCGTCAACGGCAAGGGAGGTGACCTTCAGGCTACCTCCACCCCTCTCTACCTGGGCAACGCGGGTACCGCCTCGAGATTCCTCACCACTGTCGCTACCCTCGCCACTGCCACCAATGTGGACTCGAACGTCCTTACCGGCAACAACCGCATGAAGCAGAGACCCATTGGCGACCTGGTCGACGCCCTCACGGCGAACGGTGCTGCGATCGAGTACATGGAGAGAAAGGGCAGTCTTCCCCTGAAGATTGCGGCCTCTGGTGGTTTCGCTGGTGGCCAGATCAACCTCGCTGCCAAGGTGTCATCCCAGTATGTGTCTTCGTTGCTCATGTGCGCTCCGTACGCCAAGGAGCCGGTCACCCTCAGGCTGGTGGGTGGCAAGCCCATTTCTCAGCCGTACATTGACATGACCACGGCCATGATGAGGTCTTTCGGCATCGATGTGCAGAAGTCCACCACGGAGGAGCACACCTACCACATCCCCCAGGGTCGCTATGTCAACCCTGCCGAATATGTCGTGGAGAGCGATGCCAGTTCGGCTACGTACCCTCTGGCAATTGCCGCGATCACGGGCACCACTTGCACTGTGCCCAACATCGGCTCCAAGTCTCTCCAGGGTGACGCTCGCTTCGCCGTCGATGTTCTGCGTCCCATGGGCTGCACTGTGGAGCAGACCGACAGCTCGACCACCGTTACCGGAGCTCCTGGAGGTGCCCTGCGGCCTCTGCCCAACGTCGACATGGAGCCTATGACCGATGCGTTCCTGACGGCATCCGTGCTCGCGGCTGTCGCTCGCGGGGATGGCTCGAACCACACGACTCGCATCTACGGCATTGCCAACCAGCGTGTGAAGGAATGCAACCGGATCAAGGCCATGAAGGATGAACTCGCCAAGTTTGGCGTTATCTGCCGTGAGCACGATGATGGCCTTGAAATCGACGGTATCGACCGCGCCAGTCTCCGCCAGCCTGCTGGCGGCATCTACTGCTATGACGACCACCGTGTGGCGTTCAGCTTCAGCGTTCTTTCTCTTGTCACCCCTCAGTCGACTCTGATCTTGGAGAGAGAATGTGTTGGCAAGACCTGGCCCGGTTGGTGGGACAGTCTGAAGCAGCTCTTCGCCGTGAAGCTTGAGGGTCGGGAGCTGAAGGAGGATGAGGTCTCCGCTCTTACTCAAGCCGAGAAGTCTAGTGCCTCCGTGTTCATCATTGGCATGCGTGGTGCCGGTAAGACCACCAGTGGACGGTGGGTTGCGAAGACGCTCAACCGCCCATTCATTGATCTCGACACCGAGCTCGAGGCTTCCGAAGGCATGTCGATTCCGGATATCATCAAGCACCGTGGATGGCAAGGCTTCAGGGATGCCGAGCTCAACCTGTTGCAGCGTACGTTGAAAGAGCGCTCGACTGGCTATGTCTTCGCTTGCGGTGGCGGCATCGTGGAGATCCCCGAGGCCCGGAAGCTGCTCACTGATTACCACAAGACCAAGGGCAATGTTCTGCTGATCATGCGGGATATCAAGGAGGTCATGGACTTCCTCTCCATTGACAAGACCCGCCCGGCTTACGTCGAAGACATGATGGGCGTGTGGTTGCGCCGGAAGCCGTGGTTCCAGGAGTGCAGCAACATCCAGTACTACAGCCAGACTGCCACTAACGGACTCGCCCGGGCATCTGAGGACTTTAGGCGCTTCCTCCGGACTGTGACGGGAGAGGTTGACAGCCTTGACATCATCAAGCGCAAAGAGCATTCCTTCTTTGTGTCGCTGACCTTGCCCAACCTCCGCAGTGCTAGCGATATCTTGAAGAAGGTATGCGTTGGTTCTGATGCGGTGGAACTCCGTGTCGATCTCCTGGAAGATCCTTCAACGGATGGTGTGATCCCTTCCGTCGACTACGTCGCCGAGCAGGTGTCTTTCCTCCGCAGCTACGTCTCGCTTCCGGTTATCTTCACCATTCGCACTCAGAGTCAGGGTGGTCGCTTCCCTGACGACGCCCACGCCGAGGCCTTGGAGCTCTACCGCCTGGCCATCCGGTCTGGCCTTGAGTTTGTGGATCTCGAGATTGCGTTCCCGGACGAGCTGCTGCGCACCGTCACGGAGCACAAGGGCTATTCCAGAATCATCGCTTCGCACCACGACCCTAAGGGCGAGCTGTCCTGGGGCAACATGTCGTGGACGAAGTACTACAACCGTGCGCTGGAGTACGGTGATGTGATCAAGCTGGTTGGCGTGGCCAAGAGCCTGGACGACAACAACGCTCTGAGGAACTTCAAGAACTGGGCTGCCGAGGCTCATGATGTGCCTTTGATCGCCATCAACATGGGCGACAACGGCCAGCTCAGCCGGATCCTGAACGGCTTCATGACCCCCGTGTCTCACCCTAGCCTGCCGTTCAAGGCTGCTCCCGGCCAGCTCTCGGCCGCCGAGATCCGCCGGGGTCTGTCCCTGATGGGCGAGCTCAAGGCCAAGAAGTTTGCCCTCTTTGGCACTCCCATCTCTCAGTCTCGCTCCCCCGCTCTCCACAACACCCTGTTCGCGCAGACTGGTCTGCCTCACGAGTACAGCCGCTTGGAGACCGCCCAGGCCGAGGATGTCAAGGACTTCATCCGGTCGCCCGACTTCGGCGGTGCCTCGGTCACGATTCCTCTGAAGCTGGACATCATGCCTCTTTTGGATGAAATCGCGCCCGACGCGGAGATCATCGGTGCTGTGAACACCATCGTGCCGGTGTCCGGAGGCAAGGGTCAGCCGAATCGCTTGGTGGGCTGCAACACGGATTGGCAGGGCATGACGCTGTCGCTGCGCAACTCGGGCGTGTACGGGTGCAACGGCGATGCCAGTGCCGTCGTGGTGGGCGGTGGTGGCACGGCCCGCGCGGCCATCTACGCTCTGCACAACATGGGCTACTCCCCGATCTACATCGTGGGTCGCTCCCCGGCCAAGCTCGAGAGCATGATCTCGACGTTCCCCAGCAGCTACAAGATCCGGATCGTCGACAGCATCGACGCGCTGGACACAGTTCCCACGGTGGCGATTGGCACCATTCCGGCCGACAAGCCGATCGATGCGGGCATGCGCGAGACGCTGTGCCACATGTTTGCGCGCGCCCAAGAGGCGGACGCCGAGTTGGTCAAGTCGGTGGAGAAGGTGCCCCGGGTGCTCGTGGAGATGGCATACAAGCCGTCGGTGACGACGTTGATGCAGCTGGCCAGCGACGCGGGCTGGCATACGGTCCCGGGTCTGGAGGTCCTGGTTGGCCAGGGATGGTACCAGGTAGGTTGATTGTGCTTGGGGTTGACTGTACTTGAGGTAGAATGAGTGTGCTAACACTGTATAGTTCCAACACTGGACGGGTATCTCGCCGCTCTACGAAGACGCCAGGGTAAGCGGAAACCATCTCCGAAGTGAGAGACGCCGACTGACCTGATACAGGATGCCGTGATCGGGTCGCCGGACCCTAACTCTGCTTGAATTTGATCCATTAGATGATTAGCCTCATTTAACCTTCAACGGACGTGTTGATCAGACTAACTGGTGGATTGGATTGGATAATAAGATTTATCACTTTAACTTCAACTTGTTGTATTGGTGCGTACTCCGTAGACGGTCTCAACTTAGACCCAGCTGGTGCATCCACAAAACACCAGATACCACGTAACCATCCACATCCTCCACCACGATACGAGTTCCGAATCACGAGTTCCGACTCTGGAACCTCATACCCCACAAACCTACCAAACCTAGGTATAGTGCACCAACTAGTTACTTCTCCGTACATAGTGGTGTAGTAAGTACCACCCGAACCCCACCTATAATTAGAATAGAACCACGCAACCACCCAACGCAACCATCGCATCGCCTCTCCCAAGTCCTAGCTAAGTTCATGTCTCATCTCATATCTTAGCTAGTTTACTTACTATTCCATAATGAAATTCATTCGTAACCACCCCATATCTTCACATCAATACGGAGTACAGAGGACATTCAGCTCGGATACAATACCCAATACATACATACCCAGACCCCAACGCAGCCCACCATTAGGCGCGAAAATAGAAAAGCAACGTTCTAGATCTCAACCTGAGTCTAGTTTGATATTCAGCTGAAGTCTAGCAGCGGGCCAACACAGTCCCTACTATACCAATCATCCATCCGTCTATCTAGTGGGGAAGAATGCATAATAGATGGAGGGGGAAGTGGAAGTGGAAGTGGAAGTGGAGGAGGATGGTCTAGACCGTGTTCGCGACCGACGGTCGGGAGTCTGGACCCGATCGAACCTCTTCACGACCAGCACTAGGGAGGAGGAAGTCTTCTAAGGAGTCATGTGGATGGTGTTATTATGCAACTAAAATGATAGAGAGATAATTCTAGAAGGGTCGGTCGGTTAGTCCGTCGTTGATGCATGCAGGTATGCATGCTGATAGATTTTTCTAGCTGAAGAATTTTTGGCTATCGGTAGATAGAGCGTTGACGGCTGAATATATTTTTGGTAAAGTATGTATGGATGGATGAATGTAAGTTGGTATGGTGGCTGTGGCGGTAGTTGAGATCTGGTTGGTGCGCGTATCTCCGACAAAGGATCTATCTTATCTATCAATATCGATGTCAAAATGTATGTAGTAATTCATGAAAGAATAACTAATCGAGATTGATAATATGCTCATGAAAGAATCAACCGTGGCGGAGCGGCTGAGCGCACCGACCGACCGACCGTAGCTGTCAGTCAGTGTCAAATCCACCGATCGCAATCTATTTTTACTTTTTATTCTTTAGCCGTAGGGCATGGACGGATGGATCTAGCCCTTCTGGATCGTTAAAACTATAGTAAGAGTTATTAATCATTATCTAGTGAGGATGTGCCGGGCGCGGATTAGCGACCGTCAGTTGACACCCGACAAGTGAGACATTGGTCACCAGCTGGCACGAGACCTCAACGGTCGGCGGTCGAGAACCTTCGGTGCAGAGACAGTCTACTTCGTGAAAATTCTACTACATGCATGGTTAGTCGGGGACCTACTATGTAGGTACTAGGTCTAGGAGGACCCGAGTACACAGTCGATCGATCTAGTCTGGCGTGCTGGTGCCGTGGTCCCGAGAGTCCTGATCTGCCGGGCCGATGATGACCCAATGACTACGTCGTGACTGAAGGGGATGACTGCGACAGAAGATCGATAGTCCTTCGTGGATACGAGAAGAAAGTCAATAGCAGATAAAAGCCATCCACGTCATGGAAGATGGATCGGCCACAGGCAGCCCGGTTCGGGGTCCAGCGAGCGCGATCGGGCATCTGATACAGGACAGAGATACCCCGAGAAGTTAATGCAGCTGCCACTATGAAGACTCGTGGGTTGGGGTCCGGAAACCGGTTGCATGGCCTTACCAGCCGGCTCGGTTGTCGGAAGACAGGGTTGCGACAAAAGAAATCAATCCGCATTGTTGCGCCTATGCACTGAGTAGGTAGGAGGACTAGCGGGGGCCGCACTTCCCAGCCAGAACGAACTGGCAAGGTTTTCCCTGCGCTCGGCTTTGCACGGCCCAAATTTAGAAGGATTCTAGAAAGGGCGTCGAAGAAGTCTATGAGCCCGACTAAACCCTTTCGGCCGCGACTTGCAGGCCCTGATGTATCGAACGGACCGGCGTTACAGCTGATACGGCATACACCCGGAGTACGTGGCCCAAGTTACGCCTAAACGGGGGATCCGTAGCGAATGGGGAGCTGCCGGGCCCCACTCGTCGTCGTCCTTACCGCGGAGATCGGCTGGCGTTGTTGTCGATGAACTGGCAAGCCCGGGGAGGATTGTGGCTGTGCGGCCATCCCCCGCCAATCACCGTATCCGCCCTATCCCTGACCGCTGCAGGGGGCGGGGAGAGAAGGGATCATGGAAAGCCGAGAGAAGAATTTTCTCACCCTTCCATGCATTAGTCTGGCACTAGTCGACTCCGTTAGCATGTGGCAGGCAGGGGAGTCTGGCCGACTGTTGACCGGGTCGCTGGTACGTGCTAGCCTGCGATCGTCGCCCCGTGCGAGGCCGATTAGAGTGCTTACTGGGCGTCCCCCTGCACCCAATGAAAATTTTTTCATCGCCCTGCAAAGACCTCATAATGCATTTGTCTGGCTTGTTCCTGGCGAAGGATTGGTCCGATCGGACTCGTAGCACATGGTGGCTGTCGACATCGACTTTTTTGCTTTTTGGCTGTTCGACTCGATGTCTCGGCAATGGCGTGGACGCTTGTTTCAGCAGATTGAGTGGTGATGTCCTGCATTACGAGGTGAAACTTTCGTGCCCGCTCATTAACCTCTCGCTCGGCGGTCCAATATTGGGGCTCCTTGACATCTGTCAAATCATGGAACTGCCTCCACGTCTGATCGCGGGCGCGCTTTCCCCGGAGGGGGTCCAGATAGGGAGATACCCGGGTGTAGACCCGCCGAGGTCCATCGCATTGGATATCAACGCTCGGGACAACTGGGGCAAAGCTACATCCAACGAGTGGAGGCAGAAACTTCTCTGCGAAACCATAGGCCCTGTGCGGACGGACGAGATCGGTGATAGACATCCCCCCGTAGGCCGCAAGATTTTACCACGGCTGAATGCAGAGTATCCAGCCAGCTGGGTGAGATAGTGGCACCTGGAGTAAGAAAGAGAGTCTCCAGAATTTAGTGTTACCTCAAGTTCTGCTGAGTTGCCACCAGTTTCAGCTGTCCCGTCGACCTGTAGTGGGCCTACAACTGGGTCTCTGGGGTTATTGACAGGCCTCCGTGACCATAGCTTGCACTCCAGGAGCAACAGTGGAGTCTCGTGGCTTGCATCCAAGATGTAGTTGCATTTAACTATCCCCAATCAAAGTATCAAGATGCAACGTTGGTCAACCCATGTGGACCGGGCCAACGCCCTGTTCGTCCATGTTGCGCACGTCAGAGGCGGCCACGAGCGGGCAACCTTGATGAAAATTTTCAGGGCCAAGAGCAACGTGTTGAGATTTTAGCGGTCTTCCGGCTTGCATGTGAAAAAAGTACGAGAAATTAGATCGGTGCCGAGGGAAGGAACAGCCAACCAGTCACACCACCCGAATCACCTCACTCGTTCAACATCTGGAGAGATCTACGGCGATGATTCGAGCATCTCTGGCTCAACCAGTGCGTATTCGTAATCGTACGACCACTAGCCATGCAGATTTTGGTGACTAACTCTTGTCGAAGCGATCATGACTCAACTTCAGAAGCGGCCAGATGCTGCGCCGGACCATGGGTATGACTCCCTCCGATATAGGACATGTGCTGCCGGTTCGCACCAAGTACCATGGAAACCCCGAGACCCAACCTGTCATGCCATGCTCGAGCGTCAGCTGATCTCATCACGCGGGTTATGAGATGCATTGCTGCATGTCTGCACCGGCAAGAGCATGGCAGCCCTCAACCGCAGCAAACCGGCCGACAAGTTCGGATCAGAGGTGCCGTGAGAATCAGGCTGCTAGCGCGGATTCTTGGGGCGGCGCTAAGGCAGCTCGGCCCAGCTACCCTGTCAGTGTCGAAGACCGCGCGCTCGTCGTCGGCGACCACAAATTCCGAACCCGGGGTTATGCCTTGGCGCCGGCGTATTGCCGACCTTTTTCCGGTCCGATCGTCTCGACCATCCCACCGAGGCCTGGAAGCATTCAACATGACAGACCTGATTATGAATCACGCTGACACAGTGGGTGGAATGCAGTAGTGTGTCCCAGTACCATCTGGTGACAGATTTCCGGGCATGTCCGTCGAGTCCGCGGTCGGTCGGTCGGCGGGGGCCCGTCACGCTGGTGAGTGATGCGTTACTAATGCTCGCTCATCCATGCGGCATGCACTAGCCACATCTACTGTCAATGTGGCGCAGGCATCCGTGGCTGGTGGAGCGCCCGAATCCATGATCGGCACTAGACCCTGACGCATCCAACCAGGGCAGGCTATGCTGAAGAAAGGATCTTCATCTCGACCTTTCTTTCTGGCGAGCACAACAAATCCCGCTCCCTTGTCCATCGTACATGTCACCTGTAAGGGCTGTTCATAATGGCGGCCCGATCGCAAGACACACGAGATCGGTGTGTCTTCTGCTGCATTGCAGGCGGTCGCACTTACTAAGCGACAGACTGTGGCTTAGCCGCGCCTGCCTGGCAGTTTATTGGCTGCCTCGAGTCCAGGCATCTGCCTCTGACACCAGTGGAGTCCGTCTGATGTTTGGTGCGACTACTACGACTAGTATCGACCGACCTTACTATATCGGGCTGCTAGAATGGGACTGACTCAAAATTCATCAGATAGTCAATCTATTTCTCGGGCGACTACCGTAGCTGAGGAACCGTGCCAACTGTCTAGGCTGCGCCGCGTGAAATGAACGCGGCGCTATCAGAACCAGCAAGAATATGCGAGAAAATTCTTTCAAGGCAGCAAAGCCAACGATTGAGTGGTGGTCCGAAGATGGCTGCACGCTCGGACGAAACAGCTGAGGCTAGCGTGGGCAGGTGGGAGGGAGGGAAAACCAAAGGGGAAGAAAAAAAAATCAAAATGGAAAAAAGAAAGAAATGAAAAAACAAAAAAAAGCAAAAACAAAAAAAAAACAAAAAGGTCATGCCTAGGGAAAGGGGGGGAGCCACAAGGACAAGCTCGGAGATGCAGAGAGTATTGGGAATGGATTGTGGCTTGGAAGTTAGGACATCGGGGGTGGGACGCAGGAGAGAAGCGACCAGGTCCCCGGAAGCTGCAGATCGAGGCGGCCAAGTGGGGCCCTCGTAAGGCAGTAAGTTACGTGTTGGCCAGTACGGGTAATGGGTTACGGTATGACGGAGGATGAGGGCCGCTGTTGATTCCCACTAGGTTGGGTTTTTTTGAGTCAGGATCGTCGGGCTTGTCCGTCAGTGTATGTACACCAACGTCATCTCCCCATAAAAGAGGTCCCTCCCCCCTCCGGATCGCTCCCAATGCCTATACCCATCCCTCCTCTCTCCATCATTCAATTTTAAATCATCCTATTGATGACTCCTCCACCTCGCTAGACATTCGACGTTTTAAATCACTGATCTGCCCGTTTCATCTCTCTTCTCCCCCTCATCCCTTCATCCCATTGATCCATCCATCCACTCACCCATCCCCTCTGCTACTAGTCCCGTGGTCCTTCGATATACAGTAAGTTGGCCCGTACCACTCTTGCGGCATTCTTACGTTTCCTTCTTCTCCTTCGTTCCTCTGGCCCGATGGTATCTCGCATCATTGGATCAGATCAACTCTAACCAGACAATCTTGAACTCTAGTCCGCCCGCTACCAAGGATTGCCCCCCGACTGAGCCTTTCGTCTGCCATACCTCCCCCTTTCATTGGACTTGCTCGTGCTCGACGTTTCCAGACTCTTCGACTGTCTTGCATGTCTTGTTGACTCCGGACCCTTCCGTTTCGCTCTCATTGACTCGATCGGCACAGTCATACGCTTGGCCCCTTAAGACTTTTTTGTGGGGGCCGCCGGTGCCAACACCTATATTATAACTCTCGAGCCAACTGCGGTGGCAAATCCGAGTCTCCAGCAGCTCTCCTGTCGGCGTCATCTTCCCGGGGACGTCCAATCGCGGACCAGCACATTATGTTCATGCACCCTTCTGCACGTAAGGGTTTGATCACTGAACCAACTTCCGCTCCATTCTTCAACTACCAAGACCCCGTTTGCATACAAGACGACCAGCTCCTCGATTACTCTCAAGAGGCCGCGCTCCACTTCTTCGACCAACAACAACCTCGCCTGCAGACTCCATTCCAGTACCAACCGGATTTGCAGTTCGCTTCTCCGCCCTCTTCCGCGCCCTCTTCGCCTACCTCCTCCCCCGCCTCGACCATCTCCCCCTATCCGGCGACAACTGCAGTTGCCCCGGAATACTCCTCTGCCGTCTTTGACGGTAACTCCTTCGAGGCCCCTTCGATGACACCTTCTTCCTCCTACAACCCTTCGATCAACATCCATCATTCCGCATCGCCGCCCTCACAGACCTTCCTGCCTCAATACACCCAACCCTACTACTTCAACGGCAATCCGATGTTGGCACAACAGTCCGTCGCAAACAACCACGGCTGGGACGCCAATCTGCAGCTGTTGGGCCAGGCTCGTCTCCCGAACAACCTCTCCCGCGTGCCCCAGTTCGCCCAGGATTCGCAGTTGAAAGCCTCCGCCAGTCCGTCTTCCAGCCGGTCTGCACCAGCCGGCAGCTCCTACCAGAGGAACAACGGCCTCTCGAAGCCTCTGTCCACTCCCGTGCAGACGCCCGTGCAGAACTCGCTGCCTGCGGTCCCGTTCCAAGATGGTAGCCAGACTGACGCAGAACTTGCAATGAGACGGGCTGTCTTGGAACAGCAGCAGAAGCAGCAGCAGCAGCAGCAACAGCAACAGCAACAGCAACAGCAACAGCAACAGCATCATCATCATCAGCATCACTCCAGCGACTACTCATTAGCTCCTTCGGTGTCGAGCGTGAGCCACAACTCGCCTGTGACTCCACAGACGGGATATGAAGACCTCGACGACGCATCGAAGGCAATTGTTAATGGTGAGAACCGCTTTTCCGATGTGGACAAGTGGATGAATGAATACTTACGCCTCGATGCGCTTCCAGACTACAATCACCACAACGCGAACGGGAACATGTCCATTGGCATTCCCAAGCTCAATCGCACCATTTCTGACATCTACCAAGACGAGCTCTACAACCCGACTTTGATGTCGACCCCGCAGGTGCCCAAGCAGCAGTCGACGAACCAGCCGAACATGTTGGCGCCTTCGTTCCGCAATGTGATCGCCGATCGTCTCCAGGCTGCGAACCAGGGTCACTTGACCGCACGGTCTCAGTCTCCGATGGTGAGCATGCAGCGGGATCGTTCGCCCTTCCGGCAGAACTCTCCCATGGCTGCGGAGTACAATCACGCGGCTCTCCAGCAGCCCCCAATGGCCACCAGTGCTCCGACCTCGCAAAACGGGGTGAACATGGGACCGGCGGCCCAGGGCGAGCCTAAAACCATGTCCCCCAAGGATGCATTGCTGGACTTCAATGAAGGCGATGATGCCGGTCTCCCCTTGTTTCCCCCGTCCTCACAGCCCGACTTCAATCTGGGGGAGGCACTTGGCGGACTCCGCCGGGAGAGTTCCTCGTCGTTCCAGCCGGCTTCGAACTTTACTTCGATGGAGTCGTTTCCCACCCAATACGCTACGCAGGCACCCCAGCAGTTTCCCTTTGCTCAACCGGCCCAGGGTCACCGCCAATCCCAACAGCAGAACAGTCTTCTGCATCAGACTCCCGAGTTCCCTGCGTCTCTCCCTCGGTTCGACTCTACGGGTAGTGATGTGCTTCCTTCGACCGAGATGACATCCCCCCAAGCCCCGCCCAAGATGCCCTCGCAGGCACAGCCTATCAAGGAAGAGATTACTCGCCCGGAGAACACCTCCGCGGATAGCGGCACCTACACCTGCACGTACCATGGCTGCACGCTACGGTTTGAAACCCCGGCCAAGCTGCAGAAGCACAAGCGCGAGGCACATCGCCAGACCACTCCCGGGGGCCACCTGGTGAGTCGCGATACGTCGGCCCGCAACTCGCAGGCGGGCCCCCACAAGTGTGAGCGCATCAATCCGTCGACGGGCAAGCCGTGCAACTCGGTGTTCTCGCGGCCCTACGATCTGACGCGGCACGAGGACACGATCCACAATGCCCGCAAGCAGAAGGTGCGGTGTCACCTGTGCACGGAAGAGAAGACCTTCTCGCGCAATGATGCGCTCACCCGGCATATGCGCGTGGTGCATCCCGAGGTGGACTGGCCCGGCAAGCAACGGCGGAGAGGACGGGAGTGAAGCTCGAGTGGAGTCGCAGCCCCCCTCTGTGATGTGATGGAGGGGGGGGGAGCTCCATTCAGCATCCTCCGGGTCTCCTCCATGGTGACAGCATGGCGGAGATCTCTCAGTGACCTCCGGGTGGGCGGGCGTTTGAGTCAAGATGACGAGCCCCCAGCCTCCGACGTCATGGGCTAGTCCCAAAGAGGCAAGGACTCGCTAACGGGCCCGGATCGCCGGCCCTGCCTTCCTCTTTGGGCCCAGGGCCTCAGGCCGCGCCGCTCGAAGCAGCAGCCATGACATCATCTGTGTTCCCTTTGGGACTGACGTGCCGCATTTTTGCGCATTTCCTCCCTCCGATGACGTATCCGTTTCCTTTCATTCCCAAGCAGGCCTTTCTTTGCGATTCTCTGTTCTTTGTGCATGCATGCCGTGGGTTTAGATCTCTTTTGTTCTTTTTTCTTTTTTTTTTAAATCGTGGGTTTTCTCATTGGCTGTGGTTCAATCTGGTTGCATCAAAAGAATCCGTGTATATGCACGCCCATTCGCCGCGGGCGGTGGTCGTTTGGTTTTGTTTTCGAGCCAGTTGTTACGATTTTGGGGCTTACGCTGTACTATATTTCTCCCCTGTATGATGGTTACGTTTTGAGATGTGGCTTGCACTTTGCATTGGGTGGCATGGGTTGGGGATTGGCGCGCAGATTGTCCTATGGTTTGTACAGTATGAAATGTATACATACAATGATTGTTCTACATAATGAACTGAACTGAGTCGAATAGGGGCTGGCAGGAGCTATAGACGATAGTCGGGAGCTATGAACCATGGGAGCTCCAAGCGCTATGCCTTGGGCTGACATGTACCTAATACCTAATCACTTAGGCGGCAACTCGCTCCTTCCCAAATCCCAAGATTAAGATCCGCCAGGCATACACAGTACGGAGTACATACTTTGTATGAAGTAAATGAATCTACGGACAATGATATCCGCGAATACCCATGTATCCATCCTATGATACAATCCTTCCCTCCTTCCTGCGGTGCTTCACTCCCAAACATCGGGAGAATTCTCTGACATCATACATACATATGTACTATGTACGTACCCCTGTCTATACTCCGTTTCTGCATGATTCCCACATTACATACATACATACACACACACATTCTTTCGAGTACACCCTCTCTTGATGAAATCGATGTGCACGGAGTACTTTGGTTTTGCTTTTGGTAATGTGGCGGTGCATACATCTCTAGAACAAACAGATCAAATAGTGCAAAGTGTGCAAACAGCGCTGTACGGAGGACCATCATACCGGGGACGGTTTTCTACTCGGGTCAATGAATGAATGAATGAAGGAATGGAATGGCTGTACTCGGGGTAAATGTGCAATGAGTGGAGAAGATCACACAATTGATTTTTTTTTTAATTTATCTTACTTTCTTTAGTTGTTTAGGTTAGGTTAGGTATCAAGTATGGTAACTAGGATCTAGGGAGGTATGTATGGTCTGTAAGATTCACTGTGTAGTGTATTATCGAGGATGGATATTGCATACACAGTATTGGATGGCTGGATAGCTACCCACTTAGTACTAATACATGAAGAGGATTCGCATTCCCCTCACTTCAGCGGGTGCCAGTGGATCAGTGGACCGTCCTCTCCACCAGTCCACCTGGCTTCAGCTGTGGGTAGTGGGTACTATGCACTGGGTACTCCGTCGGTATTTCCCTTTCCGGTGCTGATTCGATGGAGGAAAATCCTACAGTAGGAAGGAAGGAAGAACCACATCGTGCACAAAGTACGAACATCATCGACGGGCAGGGATGGGAGATGGACGAATCAGCGGATGGTGGTGGTGCTGGTGCTGGTGGGGGAATGTCCGATGTGCCCTAAATCTAATTGCTAGCAACCCTAGCCCTACCCAACCTACCCTGCCCTATCTAACAGCGAAAAGGTCAACATGACTGATTGTTAGTGTTATCGAGTGGAGTGTAGTGTGTTATTTCCTTTCTGTTGGAAAAGTCCATATGATTATTTGTAGAGGAATTCGAGGTGGGTTTATAATTCTCTTGCTATTTTTAACTGTTGGTGGTACCGTATAGTTCGTTCTGGATCGGCAAATGGAACGATGACAGAGTAGAACGGATTCTTATATATATAGAGTACACATGTACTCTGTCCTGATTTCATCTGTGCGTCTATCGTGCTGAATATGCTTAAGATCAGAGTGCTTACAGGAGTGGAGGAAGAGGGAGGTATCGGAATACACCCGGAAGCAACGACAACTTGTCGGTCTGCCACGGGCCGGCGGATTGCATCTTATTCTCCGGAAGTAGGTCCAATCAAAGGACTCATGGAATGTTCTGTGATCCATCGTACCTACTTGATTGATGTCATGTCCGAGCTTCAGTTCTGGGCTTCAATATCTTACAGGGTGGTGAAATGGATTGATTTCTCCGTGCTATGTCCGATGGGATCCTAAGTCTCTGACCGAGCAAATTGTACGGCTAGGAAGCCTCAAAAGAGCGAGGCGCCCGTTGCAACCTGAGCCATCTTCCACGTCCCAAAGGCATCATTCGCGGCTCCCATGATGAGAATAAAAGCCAGACGCGTATCTTGCTCATCGTCGTTGACTGCAAACGCATAGCTGATCCGCGAGGCGAACGATGCGATGTTGGCGGCTTCACCCGCAAACGCGGTGGAGCGCGTGGTATCATTGGTTTTCTGACTCAGCTCGTAGAAATGCCACGCCGTCACGACGGCATCGTGCAGACATAGCACGGCGTCGAGAAAGGCCCCCGTTCCGCGGTAGTCCTGGACGACGAGGTTGCCGGTGCGGAGGACCGGGGCTTTCTCCCCGATTTTCTTGAAGATCGTCTGAGCGGGACCGCAGAAGACAACCTTGAGAGCGATGCCGCACCCCTTCGAGATGTAGGAGAGGATCTGCACCTCGCTGTCCCCTTTCGGGAAGGGATAGTGGCCTTCCGAGATCTTATAGACCACCGTGACGGCGACAGCCCCGATCCAGGTGAACAGGTCGAGGAAGGAGATGTCGGGCACCCCAATCATATTGAGGAGGTCCGAGATGATGGGGATGTGGATTTTGGTATCAAGCACGCCAAGGGCCGCCTGGGCCAGTTCAGCCAGCACGTTCAGGAGGGCGTCAACGACAACCTGCACGCTAGACAGCGTGCCATCCACGAGGATGGCTGCCCACTTCTGGAGGATCTCCACGACCGACAAGGAGTGAAACTGCTGCACCAGATCCTGCAGGTGGCTAAACACGGCGCCCAGCACCTGGCCCTCGTTGGCGACCGCCGTCAACAGCTCCAGGACGAGATTCTCGACCTGGTCGAAGGCTGGCGGGTCGCCCAGAATCTGTAGCTCCCGCGCATGGTCGCGATACGTCCGAGCTCGGGGGACCAGTCACTCACGCGGGCCCACTGGTTGACCTGCTGTTCAACCTCCAAGATGGTGCTATCCAACGCCTGTCGCGCTCGAGGAATGTAGTTGACCTGATCATGCAGCCATAGCCTAATGAGGTTGTGCATCACATCCTTCGTCCGTCGAATATCATCCCAGTGCAGCATGGCTTGGAAATATTGCTTGAGCTTTCCCCACGTCGCGTTCAGCTGCTTCAAGATCCATACCCCAGCACCGGTCCACGCATTGTAACTGTCCAAGATAACATGGTAAAATTGCGCGCCGATCTTCGCAAAGAAGTGTAGATTCTTCGTGGCCGTATCGTAGACCATCCTTCCCACACTCCCCGCCCCATGCTTCGTTGCCTGCCAGATGTCGCCCCAGCCCGAGCTGATGGCGCCCGGGACCGATCCCAAAAGATCTCCCACGTCGCGATCGGGGACGGATGGATCGACCAGAGGGGTGAATTCTGGCGACCCAAGGATGCCACCGGCCACTGTCTTGCTGGGGTACTGGGCGTTCCGTAGCAGTTCCGCCGAGTCCAGGGCAGTCAACCTGGAAAATATCTGGTCTACCGGATTGATGGTGAGGCTGGCATTTGTCAACGCGACAGTTGGCGGAGAGATTCACCCGGGCGTGTGGAGCGGAGAGCTGCTGATCCATCTGGGTGACCCGGATGACGGTAGTATACGACATGAAAGAGGTGGCGCTCTGTTCGGGGGGGCTGGCTAGGGTAATCTCCTGGGCCTGCCACATCCTCCCGGTCTCTGCTGAGGACTCCCGGCTCCAGTGGTGCCCACCGGTGTGGCAAGTGCCACTTTGTTCCTCATCAATCGCGAAGAGGAGAGCGTGCCCGTCTCCGCTCTGCAGGGCCTCAAATTTGCCCGTGGGCGAGACCACCTGACCTTGCACGTAGTTCTGCATTAATTCTGTGGAGGCTGTCAGCTTCCCGACGGAGCCAGACAGAAGAGGGGGAGGGACTTGTCCAAGTCGTAGAAGAGCTGCTGCAAGCTGAAGGCTGTGCTGGAGAGATTGACGAGCGTTTTCCGCAACTGGTCTCGGACGTCCGGATGGCTGTTGAAGTAAGGGGTATCGAGCTCCTTGTCAAGGCCCGCGACGGTGAGGTTGACGGACATCTTCATGGCCCAGGGCTGACCGGCAGGACCCTCCGGCTGCTGGAAGACGTTCCAGACGATGCTTCTGCGCGCATACCGGATCGAGACGACCTTGACCTGGCGGCAGAACAGGTTGAAGGTGACATTGTCGGCGCTGTTGAGGGTGACGATAGGGGGCAGAAGGTGGGACTCGGGAGGGTTCCTCGGATACCGCAGTCCAGGCACTGGCTCGGCCCGCCTCTCGCCTGGTGGGATAGATGCCACTGAACAATGTATCCTGCAGAGAACCAGAAGCTTGTACAGCGCCGGACTACCTTACTTTGGTATGCTGTGTGCTCCCCGTCCAGAGGCGACAAATCATCTCTATCGGTCTTCCTTCTCTCAAGGCTTCTTTCCCTTTTTGTAGACCACGCTACCCAAGGTTTGCCATGAGGGATTCTGAGGATGGTGCCAAAGCCGCCGCTCGAGCATTGACTGCTGGTCTCTTCTAGGCCTTCAGGCCAGGATGAATGGCCTGTTTACACTCGAGCTGAACTCAATCATGCACCCTGTTCAACTATATCCCCATCAGTCACTCTCACCCCCCTTTCCACGTCCTCATGCCGCCGGAGTGTGAGACATATGGTGGCTTAGACGTTGATAACAAGACTCAGTCGGGGAGAGTAAACCTGTCGTTTGACTTGGCGGCCATCCCAGCCTCGAAGCTGCCTTTGTTTGATTCTACCTCCACATACCTGATGGCTGGAGGCTTGGGTGGTTTGAGCAGGAGCATAACCAGATGGACGATATCCCACGGAGATCGAATCCTGGTTCTCCTGAGTCGACAAGGCGTCGAAAGCCCCTAGAGCAAATGCATTCTTTGGAGGAGTGCGCGGCCATGAACGTGTCTATCTTCGCGCTCACATGTGAAGTTGGCGATGACGAGGCCGTCAATTCAGTCATTCGAGAAGCCCAGCAACTGATGCCTCCCATCAAAGGACCTATTCCGGCATCTACGGTTGTCAATGTACTTCTACATGAGGCATCTGAACAAGGATTACAAGCGAACCAGATCATGCAGTCTGCCAAGTTTCCAAAGATGACCCTCGTCCAGTGGGCCAGGATTTTACGATCAAAAATCCAAGTTCATAGTATCTCGATCGCCACTTACCCACTCGGCGTGACTTTTCCATTTTCCTGTCATCCGTATGCAGTATTATCAGTGCCAGTAGTGAATTCAACTACGCCTTTGGATGTGCCTACTAAGGTGCACTGGCCCGGTCCAGTATCTCGATGAGACAGAAAGCTGATTCATTTAGAATCGTGGAAGGGGCCGGATACACTGCCGAGCACCAGGGGGTTGGCTCCTTTATGCGCTCCCTGGGCTTGCTGCCCAGTCCCGAAGACTCCCTGTCTCCCCTATCAAAATACTACTGCGACCCAGGGTGCAAACTTCATAATCCCAGAGACACACAGGCGGTTGGCATCATGACCAAAGAGGAGATGCAGCGGAGTGGGCTTGTGCGATATCGGTCAGTCGTGCGATTTGTGAACGGCTTTCCGAGCTGCTTGTTATCAGTGCGGAGGATATGGATCCGGCAAGCCCGTTGCATATGTATGGAGTAGACTCGCTGGTTGCGATGAAGATGCGAGGTTGGTTCAAAGAGGCATTGCAAAGGACGTCGCGTGTTTGATATCATGAGTAATCGGCTGATTGAAGTCTTGGCTCAAGAGGTCATGGGTGTGGCTGTGAACATGTATGGACTCCGTACTGGTATTACCATAACAGTGTTGGAGCAAGGACTCAGATACTAGCTTCTGGAAAATTAGATTCCCATGTGCCTCCATTTGCTTGCAGCGATCTACGGTACCATCCACATGGGACAGATCCGGCGACATTCCTGGGATGAGCACTCCACATCCCAAATGCGACAGCATCATGGAACCAGGCCTCATACCCCTGTAGCGCCGATCATGACAGCTTAGCATAATATGGGAATACCCTTAGGGAGGTATAACGAGCTTCCCTCTGGCGTCATGATGAACGGAATCTTGCGTACCGGTCCAGTGAACGTGGTCGGCTTGGCATTAGAACAAATCCTGAATTCAGGTTGACGAGAACCAGCATGGAGCATGATCCACGGGGCTTTCAAGTTACTACAGTACTGCTATGTCAATGATGATCAGTGCAATAACTGTGGCTCGTAACAATAACATCATGTCATTGAGATACGAGGACTGGTGACGTAGTACTGATCTACCACCTTTGTCGCATGATCTGTGGGAAGCACGTGTATCATGCTCTAGATCAATCAATTCGATAGTTAAGCTTTGGCAACGGGGAAATTGCTTGTTTGAGTTAATCTCGCGTAGATACGGCTTGGGAAGCGGTTTCTGGGCATCCCAATCGCGGTTAAGTGGGTGCTTTTGTTCCTTTAGGCGTGTGATGTTATGTCTATCTATTTTGCCGTGCTCTTTTTAGATCTCGACTTGTGTTAGCAGGCTAGGGAAGGCCTTGCAGCGGTGAACATGATCCAATCTCTTGGCTTCTCTTGGAGAGCAGAGGGACATTCCTGCGCGTGCTCTTTTGTGCTACTATGTAGTTAGACCGTCTTGTCAATCCTACTGGACAACCCGTTCTTCTGCAGGTTCTCCTAATATGTATTCCCAACGGTACTTTGCACGTCCGCCACTTGTGTCTGCTCAACGTGGTCTAGCTTTCGTGGAGACATGATGGTATCTCCTGGTCTTCGGAGGCCGGTAAGCAAGGACCATAGTAGCACAGTTGGTATGTATTTAGTAATTGGCATATCAAGGTCAGGTTGTGTCAGTGTTTGACAACTCTCATGGTGGAGTCTTGTGCTCGGAGTGGTCATGGAGAAGCAGTATGGGCCTTTGCTGTCATTGTAAGTCCTTTGTGGTGCAGTGTGATCTTTGCTCGTTGAGGAGCGGTCTGCTTGCAATAGATGGGAAGGGCGGTCATGAGTTTGTTCAGTCTCTGACAGCAGCGAAGACGGCAATAACACAATCGCATGGTTTTAAGGGCCTCTCACGACCAGAAAGCAGACCAAATCACTCTTTGTTGCGTCTCCACCATATATCATATCGCACGGGTCTCGGTCTTGTCTTGCAACGCAGTATATCCAGCTTCACGTCCAGTCTGTGTGTCCCACCCATGCCACTCTCTTGGGGATGCCAGTAACAGCGAGTAACGGTGACAGTATAATCCCGAATCTGCGACCGGTATCCGTAGACGTCCAACCTGCTGCCGGCTTGGGATCTATGGCATGGCCATCGAGGACGATCGTCATCTAGATTTCATTAGATCTGAGCGTCGGACATATTCTGCGTTAGTTCCTGCGGGCTGTTGTATATCGCACAGCGATCATTCCACTCTGGGCATTGTAGGATAGACGAGGCGTTGTGGTGACGCCTGCAGACGCGTCCTGGCCCCGTGACCGTGGTTCAGGTAAGCAGGTGGTGGCCTGGGGCAGTCAGCAGCTGGATGAGGGGCGTCGCGGGTGACGGTGCCCTTGTTGGCCTTCATTCATGATATGTAGGGCCCTGTAGAGGGCCTGGTAAGTCCTTGCTGGAAGTATCAGCAATATGAATTAGCAGGAGACGCGGCATCAACGATCTGCTCTTATCGATGTAGTAGAGTCAGGAGCTACTATCGACTTGAACCCCCGGTCAGGTCGGGGCGGGTTGGGTTGGGGCGGTTTGGGGCGGTTTTGCGGGTTGCACCTTTCCGGGGGTTCAACTCGCAGCTGGGTTCAACTCGGCTGGGCTTGGATAGGCGCTGCACGGCTCTAAGAGCTTGTTGGGTGTGATGCTGTGATTTTGCTTGTCGGGGGTAAATAACGTCTGATCTCTATATTAGTGTCGGGTTCTTATTCTCGACTGTCGTAGATAGTTGCTGGACGATGTTTAGATGGCCGTTTCATGTTGCTGTCATGCGACCGACGTCATCGGAGCTGCGGGATAACGCGATTTTCGATCTTGAGGGGAATCTATCTCATATGTTGGAGCTTCTAGCGATGCTTATATCTGATTATCTTGTTGATTGGGCTTTAACGTTCGTAGTTTGAGTTGGATTGGGGTGTAGGGATAGATCAATCAATGGGTTGGATATATATATCTGGTAGGTAGGCATGTATACCCGCAGTGTGGAAATATGTAGTTTACAGTAGTATGTCCACAACGACGCACTTTTACAACTATTGAGAGCATGAACTGTATTCCCCGAGAGTCTCATACACATATAAGATAGTCAAGAATGAATATGTAGTACTTGTTTACTATCATACCCCAAGATCGACGATGTAATCACAGAAGCCATCTTAGATGGCGGAGCCGGAGCCGGAGACGCGTAGCGCGTCCAACATCAAAATCCACACAGAAGACACGAGCAGGCAGAGTTTTACCGCACACTGGAGAGACTGATTCTAATTATAACAAGCAACAAAACCCCTTCATCAATGACATAGAGCATACGGACAATACAGGCCCGACTGCGACACCGGTCCCGTTTAGGAACCATACTACATCAGTCAGGCTTCAGACGCGTACGTAAACAGAGTGAAAGCTATCGACTACAAGTTCTACAATGAGACATTTGTGATCATCTTTCGACCGTTCGTATTCATATCGGATCGCGTCCAAGGTCGCGCGATCCTCCTTAGCCTATGGCACCAGCCGAAGCATAAAGGCCGCTATGATACAGAAATTCAACCACGAACACTAGCAGACCAGTAGTGGACGCGTAATAGTAAGTAAAGTACGATAAAACAAACCCAGACCCATGATACTTGTAATGAAAAGATCAAGAACACCCCAACGTCCCAGTCATACCGTGAACCAACCCGAAAAAGCAACCCGTCGCGTCACTGCTGCGGAAGGACAACTGACGCGCCGACCGCGCAGGATGGCTAAAAGAAAGAAGCAGGAAAAGAGAAATGCATTTAACCACCGAAACCGTAGAGGGTACCTGAAGTGCATGTTAGACGCATTGCCACCGACTGGAGTTCGCGTCGAGGGGTACTTACGGCCCTGTCTCTTGAGAGCGTAGACAACGTCGAGGGAGGTGACAGTCTTGCGCTTGGCGTGCTCAGTGTAGGTGACGGCGTCACGGATGACACCCTCGAGGAAGGTCTTGAGGACACCACGGGTCTCCTCGTAGATCATGGCAGAGATACGCTTGACACCACCACGACGGGCGAGACGACGGATGGCGGGCTTGGTGATACCCTGGATGTTGTCACGCAAGATCTTGCGGTGACGCTTGGCGCCACCCTTGCCGAGACCCTTTCCACCTTTTCCACCTGTTGAGACGCGTCAAGTCAGTTTGACTGTTGATCTGGGATAGATGGATGGATATTCCATCCCATCCGGGATGGGAAAGGTCAGATCGACTTACGGCCAGTCATTTTGACGGTTGACTAAAGAGATAAAGTTGAATTAAAGTTGAGGGAGAGAGGGTGAAGTTGATTGGGCGGTTTAAGCTGAGAGGATGGATGTAAAGGGAAGAAGACAGCAGCATCCCATGGGACGGGAGATATTTGTATAGCGAAAGGCGCCGCGCGGGGAGGGCGTCGGAATCACACGCTAGAACGCGGATCAACCAATCAGCGGCCAGGATCCCGGCCGGCGGACTTGATCTGTCGGCAACGTGACCGGGCAGGGATGATTCCGCTGGTATGTCGCTGATTCCCATGGGAATGCAGCCAACCACCGAGATCAATCACCGCAGGGTGTCAGAGGCATTCCTGTCGATGGCTGCGAGCTGCTGCGACAAGCTGATAGAGACACATTCCGAGCCTGAGGTTGGGATCAAGGTGAGGCAGGGGCAGTTTCTAGATCCGTGATCCTGGCTTCCTATTGGCTGGCGGGGGCTAGGGGCCTCGCTTAGCGCTCCGAGGCAGGCTCGACCGCCTTTGGCCGTTCCCGCGCGACCCTTTGATTTTCCCAGCCAAAAGTGAGCCCCGAAATCACGGCTTATGGTGTGCTGCTTTCCGAGCGTTTTTTCGATCAAAGGAACGCCGCGCTAAGGCCCCCCTCCGTTGCTGGCAAACCCAGATCACCACCCACCCTTTCGCTTACTACAAATACCTCCCCCCACCCGCCTCCTCCATCCTTCTTCCATCTCCTATCTATCCACCTTCATCAACCTTCCATCCTCAACGTCATCTTTTCATCTCTAAAACAACTAAATCCATCAAACCTAATCGGATAAAATGGCTCGTACTAAGCAGACTGCCCGTTAGTGCCCACCTTACTGTCCTTTCTCTTCCTGGTCGCTGGATCGCGTCACGGTCGCGGCACCGGGGCCTCATTTGGAACATCACCGCTAACCACCTCTATCTACAGGCAAGTCCACTGGTGGCAAGGCCCCTCGTAAGCAGCTCGCTTCCAAGGCTGCCCGCAAGGCCGCCCCCTCCACCGGAGGTGTCAAGAAGCCTCACCGTTACAAGCCCGGTATGTTCCCCTCACGTCTGACGTGGCAAATCACCACCCGAAGGCATCCGTGCTAATAATCCATCTCAGGTACCGTCGCTCTTCGTGAGATCCGTCGTTACCAGAAGAGCACTGAGCTCCTGATCCGCAAGCTGCCCTTCCAGCGTCTGGTTCGTGAAATCGCTCAGGACTTCAAGTCGGACCTCCGCTTCCAGTCTTCCGCCATCGGTGCTCTCCAGGAGTCCGTTGAGGCCTACCTCGTCTCTCTCTTTGAGGACACCAACCTGTGCGCCATCCACGCCAAGCGTGTCACCATCCAGTCCAAGGACATCCAGCTCGCCCGCCGTCTCCGTGGTGAGCGCTCTTAGATTAATTTCTAATGAGTCGATTCTGTTTCTGGTTGGCTCTTATGGGAAGGCGATAACGGGGTTTCTTTTTCTTTTCATGACTACTGGCGATACATGATGGGTTTGCGAATTTCAATGGGTTTCGGCACTGGGTTTTCGTTATTTCTTGCTGCGCAACAAATAGTAGCTGCCGATTCAGCGGCTGGGTGGAATTGATCATGGGGATGCATCCGAATATGTACATTAAGAAAGCTTTTACTTGAAGTGACTTCCTCGGAAGCGCCACCGGATGGCATAGACGCGAAATGCAGTATCTATGAAACAATCCAGCCCGTTTGAGATCCGCCTGAGAAGGTCGTACTTGTAGACGCGTAGATGTGGCACGGTCGCAGCCTGGTGTTGCTTCGCTTGCCAGGCTGTCTGCATCGCTTCTGGAAGGATCGGTGTACGCCATGCAAGGATAAGTCTTCAGTCTACTACGTACCCACCCAATACTGTCCGAGAAAGGTTGCCCGATGATCTGCGACCGTGAAGACCAGCGATGTAACATCGGAGATGATGCACTTGTCTTCATCCAGCCTTACCACCGTTTCGGTTACTTTCTACAGTGCATTTACGATGATGTCGCGCGGTCAAAAGTATTTAATCGCCCTGAGACTCTATAGTATGAAGTACAGATAACCATCGCGAATCACGGACTACGAAGTCTTTCTGGATGACGACTGCCAGGACTGCGCCCTTGGGTTCGGAAACTGCAGCCTGTGAGTCGCCACTTAGGGGTAAAGCCGGCCATAGGCATCTGCTGTGGCCACAACCATCGCCCAGAAACTTGTCTAGTTGGATTTGGAAGATTACCTGGCGTCTAAATGCCAAAGATGGCTTCAGTTACGAACTACTTCTAGCGAGAAACTGTATACTTTCGCGACGAACGGCCCACTGCTATATGGTAGAGATAGATAATGGGAGAGAAAGGGTGGGCGACTGAAAATACCGTACGGTGTACATAAGGAGTGACTCAACCTGTTACTCCCAATATGTCTGAAATGGCCTAAATCAGGGATCAGGAGATAAATGATGGGGCTCTAATGGCTTCATTCGCAGCTGCCTAATGGAAATCATGGGGTGCCTGTAACATCTCCCCTCTTCCTCATCCAGCCGCACTCTTCTGGTTTCATGTCATCCCCCACCCTGGATCACGGCGAGTTGGAAATGACCCCTTTTTAGGAAAATGACTGTAGCCTACAGGTGCAAGATCATTTACTAATCATAAGATGGATGTCTCTAAGATCATCAGATGTCCTTCGCACGTCGAGCGAACCCACGGCCAAGATTGCCGAACCACGACCGAGCGAGTCCTCCCAACAGGGAGTCCTTTTACAGAGATGACCACGGATATTGATAGGGATAGCGAAGGCGATATAGCCAGAAAAACAAGGAAGAGATTCTGTTGGGCTCTAATCACGCACCCAATCTGTGTCACGCGTATAAGGTGACACGACCATCTCGGGGAACACAGGGAAGAGTATGGGCATCGATATCAGAAGGAGAGAGAGGCCTTTGCTTTGAGCTTGATGCGGCCTATCCACTTTTATATGTGTACGAAATTATTACTCTTGGCCTCTGACCCTCTCTCACTACCTAAGAGGATAATCGACAATAGAAAACATCAAGACAAGAGTCTGGATATTCTGAGGAAGTGATGGCGATGGGGTTCGGGCCTTATCGTCGTTATCGCTATCGCATCCGTCGTCCATGGCCCTCACCATCAACCCCGCGGGACAGCGCGTACATGAACACATCTTCTGAGCCCCTATTGACCTTCCTCATTACTTTCAGATCAAAGAGCTCCATTCCATAACCTGCGGGAAGTACTGCGTGAACCCCATGATAATGACTGGACTGACAGGCAAATACATCCTATCCCCCGATACCACGCTCTACGACCAAGCAGTATCAACAAGCAGACTCAACCCAATATTTAAGCCTCTCTACCATGCAGCGGGCGTCCAAATATTTCCCCGACGAGCAAGGAATTTATATCATCAGGTCGGCTGACCAAGATATGTCTACATATCTATTGCGAGCTGCAGACCCCGTTAAGATGCCCCAGCATCTTGTACAATCGGTCGACGATCACGGTCCTCGTTTGCGCAGTGGAGGAAATCAGAAGGGAGCGGAACATATAAAGGCTGGTGCTGCAAACTGCTTAGCATGGATTTGAACCTCTGGTGGTGCTATATCGCACGATGGTGGATGCGTGGTGAGGTCAGAAGGGCTGGGTGGGATCTATCGATAATGGACTCGGCGTAGGGTATGGGATAATATGTGGGCGACCAAGGAGGACTCGCCATATCTTGGGAGACTAGACAGCATCCGGAAATGTCGGATTTCTGTGTCTTCCTTCGTCGTCCGGGATAGCGACTGCGTTTCGGGAGAGGAACCCGCATCATACACGCATCGTAGGCGGGCTTGGAATTAGAGCTAATTAAGTAAATGAGATATTATGGCATAGTTCCTGCAGAAGAGGCAAGACAAAGAGGTATCTTGAATTCTAACGTTTCCGAAAAGGAGACTTATGCTTTCATTGCAGCGGTTCGAGCTGTAGCGTACTCATGTTGTAGATATTTAAAAGCCAAAGCGAATATATATAGCGAATCGAAGAGAAACAGTGCCCAACACCCATCATTAAACTGAACCTACCACTTTCACCACCAGTCCCACAGAGTCCGTCGTGACCATCAACTAGGAAAATATCACTTGGTAAATGTTACATCACCACGGAACGATAGCACGTGTCCTCTCGGATCCCACATATCCTGGACCTGACAACCCTGGCAATGACTAACCATTAATGTTGATACTGCTGTTCATGAATTATTCTATAACTGATACAGACTCTCTTTGCTGTATGAAGTTGAATCGCCCATGAGATGGAATTTCAGACCCATGAAGGTCGAGACATACCCCCCCGAACCGATACATTCACATGTCCGACATCGAAGTAACAGATAGACTCAATAGCTCATTAGGATACCAATAATTAATCTCAGCTGCTCTGCCTTTAGTCCTAGTGCTTTCTAACCATTTAGTGTCAAGAGTACCAGTAAGTAGTGGATCAGGTGATGGAACGCGGCCGATTAGAGGTGCTTCAGGTTCTGTTAAATTCGTCCCACTCCCTCTTGCTATTCTGGACATTCCCTCTTTCCCCCCGTCCTCCTCGCTCTTCAATAGTTCATGAAAGGAACTTTCTCGAGGGGGAACATTTGATACTATCATGGATATCCCAGCATGAGCATTATAAGTATGTTTGAGGTAACTTCTATCTAATCTGTATCCCAATTTATCTCTTCTGTTTAGATGACTGACTGCTTGATGTTACTTCTCACTCATAGGTCCAAAATACCGAGGATCGTGACTGTTTACGTCGGGTTTAACTGTGATATGGGGAACTTGCATTATAACGCAGCGAATGTCAGGGCTGTGGGAGGTATCTTGTGGTTCTTGTTATCACTGATCTTAGAGGAAGATGTTGCCAATAGTGCTGGTTCTCTCCCGGTAGTATAGAAAGACGCCACTAGGCAGATGGTCGAAGAGGTGCCACACTTGCCGTTCACTTCAGGATCGATGGAAGACTAGGTTGTGCCGTGTCTCAGAACTAACTACTCCGTACCTTGATATGAGCTTGGTTCAACAGTGACACAGCATCAGGGGCCGGTAGGGATAGGGCCTGGGTATCCACTAACACTGAATGACCTTTACAGAGTAAGTATTTGCAGAGTAAGTGGGACTTGTATAGATGGTTCACTGTATGCGCATTCTGATAAAGTGCTTTCCAGTTGTGAGATTCTTCCACTGGACTGCCGATCGTCAAGGTTGATATATGTTGTCTCAAGGGTAGTTTTGGAAACCATATTCCTAAAGGTTAATGCTGCGAGACTGTCCAACATCCACAAGCTAATTTAAAGGCTAGCCCCCTTCGCAGACACCTGGTGCTGGCGAGTTGCCGTCGAAATTGCGGTAACGTGAACTCTGGACTAGTCAAATGCACGAGGCGCGCTAACCAGCGTAGCAATTTCAAGCTAAGCGGCCATGACCAGCGCAAGTTCTCTACTCCAAGTTCATAAATAGAGCAGAGCTAGTGGGGTCTGCAGCTTCTGATGGCTTTAGCCCAGTGATATCGCACCATTGAGGTTCTACTGCTAGTCACCGAGGACTCCTGCTGAGCGAGCCAAACACGCAGATAGCCGACCATGGGGATTATGCTAGTGCTACAGTAAGATCGAGATAATGGGAATTCATCCATTTCAGGTGATAATGGTAAGCTGGACCATCGACAGATGTTGATTCAGCCCAAAGGCTAGGATATTTTGGACGGATAGATATCCCACGGGATACGGAGTACGGCTTGTTGATTGGAAAAGTCCGAATCCGCTCGAAGCACAGACCACGTCTGCAACCCGGCTGCCTGAAGAAGCAATGAGGATGAGGCACCTTGATCAGAGCCTAGGCGCGTGTGCCCGACGTTGGATATATCACAACCTTGAGATCTCCCGGATGGCGGTCCGGGGTCGTTGCGTGGCTGACTCGTATTTCATGGCACGAGTGTGAAGGATCAAAAAATCGGTCAGTGTAACCGATTGCAGAGCAGGTGTTTCCTGCTGCAGATTCGTCAGACCATTCCCTCAAGCGATGCTTCTTGAGAGGACACGAGTCCATGGATGCAACGTATGACATTCATGCCATGACCACCTGTTTCATCGCTTTCTTTTGCCCTTTGATGTTGGGGATTAGTAATCTCTCCGGATGACTTGTGCTACTCCGTACGGATACGGAGTAGTGCTATCTGAGACAATATTCATCTGCCTCTCCAAAGCACAGCGAAACCTTAAGGGTGGTGGGTCGACGGGATGGCCGACGGACCACGGCCTGCATCTGCCGCTTGATTGACAGTCAATTCATAAATGATCAGCGATACAGAACTGTCACCGGCCATGATCTTTGATTCTTGCGAAAGAGATGGGTGTCGGGGGATGACATTCCCCGCACAATGGAGACTGCAAGTCTGAAACGACCAATTCTAGCAATCAAGCACAAATTGCTAGGTACACAGTAGAAGAGTACCTATCCACGACTAATCCATGGCTATAGGTGATTGATTCGATTAGCTGGCGCTTAGCCTGTCACAAACAAATAGCCAGGTGATCCACAAAATGATCCTTGGATCAGACAACGTCGGATATCTCGCCCCAATGAGAGTACGGCATGATGATGGCTGTCTTGATCCTGACGAATCCACGGGCAGTGGCTTCTGGCGGCGGATCCATTACTTGAAGTGTTCGCTCCTCTGTGCAAGCCACTGCTGCACAGGGCGTCACCTCTGGTGTTATGCCGTCGGAACCCCTCCGCCTGCCGGCCTTCTGGAACAGGCAGAAATTGTCACCCTATGCCGAATCAGGCTAGTGGCCCGTGGATCACCTGCCGTCGCTAAGGCGCTAAACCACAATCAGGTCGGTACGCGACAATGCTGAATGCAGATTGTTTGTGAAAGACCCGAGGTCAACAGCGGACAGCCACTTCTCGACCAGATCGGCGTTCTGCAGGCCGATTCATTCTTGTCCGAGCACTCTTGCCAGAGCCCTATTTTTCGTCCTGCGATGGACGAGCTCATCGCCATCCGCACCCCTTCGACCAGCTACCAGAGTTCACCGCGCGGCTTGGTGAGTCAAAGTGTCAAACATCATTTGATCCGTCGCAGAGTTTAGAAGGCACCGTCCAAACAAACCTCTATCTGGACCTCGGTAACTCTCCCATCGATAGATAGCTCGACTGCTCGCGATAGTTCCTACCCAACGGAGATGCCCCACCGCCGGACCTGGACTAATCAGGGACGAAATTGCGCAAGAAATTGTCCTGAATGACCCCATTCTGCCACGAGGCACGCGGATTCGCCCATGGATCCTGAGCCTCCTGGGCTGGTTCGGTCCACCTCGGCCGAGCCCGATCAATCTCGAGGCCCTCAACATTGCCTCCACTCCAGTTAATGCGCTGCATAAGTCTAGCGTAATGCGCAGACATCGGCGGCGGCCCCCCTTTTCGACTCGGGTGGGCGGTGCTCCCTTGGGTCGGGGGCGTCCTGCGCAGCTCAACTCCGTCCCTCTGACTGAAACCGGTGTTGATCCCGAGGCTAAATCCACACGATTAGTCGTAGTGACGCTGCTTGGCACTCCATGGAGAGAAAGGAACAGAAATTTCGTGGGCCCGTTCGATCTGTATATATAACCAGGGGTCCATCCTGGATCATCCCTACGGAGTAGACTTTCTTAACCTTGTTTTAGGGTTGTGATCAGCTTTGTTGATCTCCTTTGACGTCTCGTCTTGTGAGACCATCCCATACCCTCATCTCCAGACCAGGACCATACCCAATTCGGTCTCTATTGTACGACCAGTGGACTTCCCTTGTCCGACACATATCCATCTGACCTCGGCTCCCCAACTTCTCCCCCAACACCGCAACCATTTCACCGTCACTCGTTCTGGTCCCCCCGCATATTGCGAGCAAACTACGATCCTCCCCCATGGCGAGCGACAAAGGTGTGCCCTCGGTGATCGAGGCGCCTGCAAGTCGCAAGATCCCGTTCTGGCGCCTTATCACCGACCAGGGCGTCGTCACCCAGGAGATCATCGACCATCACTACCCTGGCTCGGGCACGGAAGAGGATCCCTATGTGGTGACATGGCTCCCCGAGGACCCCCGCAATCCGATGCAATTTAGTGCAGCAAAGAAATGGTCGTTTACCATGGTCATGGCCATCGCCACCCTGGCCGTGGCCCTGGTCTCTTCCGGATACACTGGTGGTGTCCTCGAGATTGAAGAACAGTTCGGGATCGGCACGGAAGTCGCCACGCTCGGTGTCTCTCTTTTCGTCCTCGGTTTCGCAGTTGGTATGTCTTTCCCCTGCGGTGGGCTTGGCCTTTCAAGCATATAGCTAACAATTCACAGGCCCCTTGCTCTGGGCTCCCTTCAGTGAAATGTTTGGCCGACAGGTTATCTTCTGCATCACTTACGCGGCCCTCACGGCTTTCAGCGCAGCCAGTGCTGGCTCGCAAAACACCGCGACCCTCATCATCCTTCGCTTTTTCGCTGGCTCCTTTGGGTCCTCTCCCATGACCAATGCCGGTGGTGTCATTGCCGATATGTTTGCTGCAAAGGAACGTGGTATCGCCACGAGTCTGTTCGCTGCTGCCCCATTCCTCGGTAGGTTTGAACCCCCACATCCTGACCTCATCGCCTGTAACTAACATTTGCGACCCAGGTCCCGTTTTGGGTCCGATCATTGGCGGCTTCCTGGGCATGAACGCTGGATGGAGATGGGTGATGGGCTTCCTGGGCGCCTTTTCTGGCGTCGTCTGGATCATCGGCTCGCTTACTGTTCCCGAGACCTATGCGCCGGTCCTTCTTCGTCGCCGTGCCGAGAGATTGAGCAAGCTCTCTGGAAAGGTGTATCAGAGCAAGCTTGACATCGACCAAGGCAAGACGACCTTGAAGCAAGCCTTCAAAGTCGCCCTGTCCCGCCCGTGGCTGCTGCTCTTTAGAGAACCGATCGTGTTCCTGTTGTCTCTGTACATGGCCATCGTTTACGGCACCCTGTACATGTTGTTCGACGCCTACCCGATTGTCTTTGAGGAGTACCGTGGCTGGAACCAGGGTGTTGGCAGTCTGCCGTTCTTGGGTATCATGGTTGGCATGATGGCCGCCGTCGCCTACAACATCTTCGACAATAAGCGCTATGTTCGGACACAGGAGAGACACGGTGGGTTTGCACCCCCGGAGGCCCGTCTGCCTCCATGCATGGTGGCCTCATTTGCTGTTCCGATCGGTCTCTTCTGGTTCGCATGGACCGACGCTCCTTCGATCCACTGGATGGCCTGTGTCGCCGCCGGTGCTCCCTTTGGTTTTGGGTTGGTCCTGGTGTTCCTGAGCAATCTGTCTTACCTGATCGACACCTACACCATCTTTGCTGCGTCCGTTCTGGCGGCCAACTCGGTGATGCGGTCCATCTTCGGTGCCGTGTTCCCTCTGTTCACCAACTACATGTATGAGGACCTGGGTATTCACTGGGCCACCTGCATCCCGGCATTCCTGGCCCTCGCCTGTGTCCCGTTCCCGTTCCTGTTCTACAAGTACGGCGCTGCGATCCGCACCCGTTGCAAGTACGCCGCCGAGTCCGACGCCTTCATGCGCAACATGCTGGCGCAGTTCATGAAGCAACCCGCGCCCCAGGAGGAAGCTCCGGCGGAGGAGAAGTTCGACCGGACCGAGGCCCCGGCCGTTGAGGCTGACGCTAGCGACTCCGACTCGAGCACTGAACAGCTGCCCCCGGTGCACCGGATCAACACCAAGGCGTCCACTCGCACGGCCAACCAGTCGCTGTACGAGGGAAGCCCTTATGACATCGACCGGGTGAACACTCGCGAATCGTTCAAGCAATAAATCCCCTCCCGGGACCCGACCTCGCCCGTGATACCTCTACTACCGACCTCGTGAATAATCTATAGTACTTATTACCCCACTCCGACTCCTGAATCTAGACACGACTGTGTCCACGCGAGATGTGCATGATGGACAGACAGAGAAAGAGGAAAAAAAAAAACCAAAAACCGGTGTGACTATTAGACGACTTGCATGGTGATATACCCTTTTGATTCTTTTCTTTAGCTTGCATTTGCATGATAGATGGCGGTGTTTTGTTTCTACATCTCGAACGATAGAACGTCTCCATACACAACATAATGAAATAATTCAATCTATATGCCTGAGCCTGGAGGTCCCTGCTGTAAGTTGTAAGCTGTAAACTGTCAGCTGTAAGGCTGCCTACCGGATCCATCGGGGCGGATCGTCATCTCTGACCGATCGGAGATACGGGCCTGACCTGACCTCGGCTACCGCGCGCTTATGCGATGCCGATGCTGATAAACTTCGGAACTTTTTTTTACCAGGAGGGATTTATCGTCGTCTGCTTAACTTCTGTCCTGTGTTCCTGGAATAGTGGTTGATACGTTCTATCGTGCGTGCTTTCGCTGGCTTCGCAACGTGGCTACTGCTGCGTAGTTAGTTGGTTTGATGTGTGTCTGGGAGCGAGATTGATTCATCGTCACTTGAATTGCGCCCGTTGATTCCGCCGATTCCCCCGTCGTCAGCTGGTCGGATTAGTTCATAATCAACTAACCGGTCCAACTTTTCTTTTTTACGTTCTTTTTCGTTCTCTTCTTTACATTAAGGGTTATATCGAGGAGAGATAGATATTCCTCCCTACGAGATCCATACCTACCCAAACCGCAACCATGAACGCCACGCACACCCTCGTCCGCCGAATACCGCTACGGTCATCCCCGCGAACCATCCATCCCCGACGCCATCTCACATCCTCGACACCCAAATGCGAACCCGTTCCTGAGAAACACACCCCGAACCCGAACCCAAACCCGAATCCGCAGCCGGCTGCCACGGTGCCGGGCCCGGTCGCCGCCCCGGCATCGCGCACACTCCTCCAGAGAATCCAGGCTGGTCCGGTGGGAAGAGTGGCGGGGGCGTATTCGCGGGTGCAGGATCGACGACCGTATACCACGCAAGTGGTCAGCACGATTATTGTGTATCTGTGTGGTGATTTGGGGGCGCAGATGTTGTTTCCGCCGGATACTCAGACGTCGGGCTCGGAGGGAGAGGGCGAGGGTGAGAAGCAGACGATAGCAGGAGGGGGGTATGATCCGTGGAGAACGCTGCGACATTTGACGGTGGGTGTGGGGGGTGCGATTCCGACGTATAAATGGTATGTTCTTGCTGCGAGGGGTGGATGGATGGATGGGTGGCTGACTTATGGGATTCAGGTTCATGTTTTTGCACCACCATTTTAATTATTCTTCCAAGCTCCTCTCCGTCTTGACCAAGGTCTGTGTGCAGCAGGCGGTGTTCACACCCGTTTTCGGTACCTATTTCTTCGGACTGCAGTCGTTGATGACGGGCAAGTCGCTCGAGGAGACCTTTGAGCGGTTGAAGGTCGCGTTGCCGACGAGTATCACGAATAGTGTGAAGCTGTGGCCGGCTGTTACGGCCTTCAGCTTCATGTATGTGGCGCCGCAGTTCCGGAGTATCTTTTCGGGCGTCATTGCTGTGGGTTGGCAGACGTATCTGAGTTGGTTGAATCAGAAGGCGGCGCGCGAGGTGGAAGCGGAGAAGAGGGCGTTGGTGGAGGTGGAGGTGGGCGCGGGCGCGGTGGCTATGAATGCATAGAGGGATTCCTCGGACGTTCTTTTGATCCTTTCTTGTTTCCTTTGTTGGTGTGATATCCCGAGACATGTGGTGGACTGGTTTGTATAGACTTGCTGAGGTATAGATTAGCATTGGTTAGAACACGCAGAACATAGACTTGACTAGCATCGTTAGCAGATACCCAAGATGGTGAGACGTTGTGAATGACAAGCCATCTTATTATATCAATGTGAAAACAAACAAAGAGCCGACTGGAATTGCATGGGCTGATGATGACGTGGGGATCCGAGCGCCGACCCGAACTTTGGCCGTCGCGCGACTGCGCTTCGTTTCTTCCTGCATTGAACCAACGCGCTCGGCATGATTCCCTCGCTCGCATTGCAGGCATGTCCTGCCATTCTTCAGCAACTCCTGTGATCCCTGGCGGGTTCAACGATAGCGACAGCAGCACTGACTACGGGTCTGACTTCTCCCCGGAAGAAGAGGCGCTGCTGAACGACTTGCTCGCCAAGGTCGCCCCAGATCCTGACGCCACCACCATTGCAGCAACAGCAACAGTAACACCAGCACTTTCGCAACAACCTTCACCTGCTGTCACGCCCGTCGCTCGAGACATCGAAGACCAGTATGCGGCTCCCTCGAGTAGCCGGGTGCCTCGGGTACTGGGGCGAGAGAAGCCTGCATGGCAGGTTCGGTCATCTCAGCAGGGTGGCGCGAGACCAGCGCCGATTCCAGGCTACATTCGTACCGCGTCTGGTAGTTTTCCTCCTTTTCATCTTTGTGGTTTTCTGTCAGATAGGACAGATTCAGGCTGACACTGAACTCGAAGCGTTTAGTGGAGCATCCGGATTCGACTGAAGGGCGTGAGAAAGAACGCGAACGACAGGCCGCTCGTCATGAAGAACGGATAAAAGATGTGAATGCTGAGTTGGATACTCGGTCGCCGGTGGAACGATTTCGGCGCCCTCCGCATAAGGCTTTCTCGGTCACGGATCTGATTTCGCCGGCGTGGTGCGAGCTGCAGTACTGGTATACGCTGACGAAGTTCGGGAGGAAGCGGAGGACTCCCGCGATGAAGCTGGGCAGTACGATTCACAAGACGCTCGAGGATGAGATCTACATGACTGTTCCGGTGGAGATTACGACCAAAGAGGACGCGCTGGCGCTGCGCATTTGGAATATCATCCAGGGATTGCGCACGCTGAGGGAGTATGGCATCACGCGTGAGCTGGAGGTCTGGGGCTTGGTGGATGGGGAGCTGGTCACCGGTGTTATCGATCAGCTCTCTTACGAGTGTCCAGACCCCAAGCTGGAGGCGACGGCGGCTACGTACTATGCCGATATTGAGGCATCCAGGGCCATCTTGCCCGAGTACCAGATGTCGCTGACGGATTACCTGCTCGCGTCGGGAGGTGGAAAGCTCCTGTCTGACGTGTACGAGCAGGAGGACAATGCGCCGAAAGCGGACGACTCGGTCAGCAGCAGCCAGGAGTCCAACGTGCCTCGTATCCCTCGGATCTATCTCACAGACGTCAAAACGCGAGGCAAAGGCTCTGCCCCAACGGTCAAGAGCACCTCGTTCCGACCCACGCTGCTTCAACTCCAACTCTACTACCACATGCTCAACCGCCTGGCCACCAGCGACGACGTAACCATCGACCTTCTTGCCTCGCGGTACAACCTGGACGCCAACCGCCCGTTCACCGACGCCTTCATCAGCGAAGTCGGCGGCCTCAACGACCAATACTTTGACGCCCTGGCCTCGCAAGAATTCGACCCCGACTACATCCCCACCCCACAAGACGCCATCGAGCACCGACAGCCCCCGCACTCCTCCCAGTCCTCATCTACATCACAATCTCAGTCCGCTACCAGCCAGGACTCGACCAGCATCCTCCTCACTCACAACACCCTCACCTCTCTCTGGAGCCTAATGAAAGAACAATTCCGTCTCACCTTTTTTCCCTCCCCCGACTCCCTCTCCGTGGCGCCCTCCATCCCGTCCGAATTCCAGCCCCGCATGCTAGAACCATACCCGACGATCCTCTCCCCTCTCCTCACAGCCCGATACATTTCCTCTGCTCCCACCGCCGACCTTCACCCCAAGGTCCTGGGCAGTCGGTCCTTCCTCTTCGACCCCACCTCCATGACTTCGTACATCACCGACCAGATGCACTGGTGGCGTGGGGAGCGCGATCCGCGGGGAGTCGAGGTGATGGAGGCGTGGAAGTGCCGCATCTGCGAGTTCAAGGATGAGTGCTCGTGGCGACAGGAGCGGGAGTGGACGTATGCAAGACGCAGCATGGGGAGAAAGGCGGAGGAGTATGATGTTAATGTTTGATTGTTTCTAGATGTGAATGTATATACATGTTGGTGGTGGGGGGGGGGGGTAGTTGATTGGGTGTTGGCGTTATGGAAGGATAGATAGGGATGTGTGGTGTTTGGTATTATGTCTGGATAAAACTACACTATAACTATATACTCAGCAAAAGACAATTGCTGCATCGCACTCGGATAAAGTCATCGACATAATCCATAAACCATATACCCCTATAGAATAGACAATAGACCCCACCCATCTATACACGCTCCTAAAACGGATACTTCCTCACCTCCTCCTCCCCCCGGACATCCAACCCCCTCGCAACCTGCTCCTCATGCTTCCGATCCAGGTACTCCAACAAGACCTCCTCATACATCTCCCTCCCCTTATACCGACTAACATCCTCCCCCCAACTCCGCACCGCACTCGCCAACCTTCCCGGCACATAATCCTCCTCTACAATCTTGACCACGGGTTCAAAATACGTCCTAATCGTAAACACCACCCCGCCACTCCTGGGCAACCGCCTCAACGACTGCCTCTCCGACCTGAAATAATGATTCTCAATCGCCTTATTCCTCTCCGCCGTACTCCACGACACATCCTCCGAATCTTCCGAACCAATACTATGCGACCAGGCGAGATTATCATCCACCTGGATGAAGTAATTGTTTCGGAGGACTGGGTCTTCGGGTTTCAAGCGCCGGAAGAAATTCATCATCCCTTTTTCGAGCTTTTCGGTGTATTGGGGGACGGAGCCGGAGGTGTGGATTTCCGAGAGTCGCATTTGGTATTTGTCTTCGAGACGCCAGAAGCCAGCGAGGAGGACGGCGCCCGCGACGAGGTAGTACTCGCCGTCGGGTTTCTCGAGCATGATTGCGATGTCGTCTTGGATGAGACGCGCGCAGATCGTCATGGGGTCTTCGGGGAGGGGGCGTTGCGTGATGTTGAAGGTTTCGGTGGTGAGGAGGTTGGTTATGCCGGTGGGGGTTTTGCGGAACATGCTGGGGTAGCGTTCGGGGAGGTAGGAGGTCCTGATGGGGGGTGGGTTAGTGGTTGTGGTGGTGGTGATGGGGGGAGTGTGTACAGTTCTTCGAGGAGCTCGATGGCGGCGTCCATGGCTTCGGGAGCTGTTCTGCAGCATTTGTCGCCTCGTTCTTGGATGCGACGGGCCTTGTCGGCGTGGTAGCGGAGGTAGTGGTTGTCGAGTTCTGTGGGAGAGCTGTCAGTGGTATGGTTTGGAGTCGAGAGGGTGAAGAGGACTCACCGATCCATTCGTCCCATTTCATGCTGCGGAGTCCCATCGTGACGAAGTACTTGCTGTTGGGGGTGAGTTGCTGGTTGTTGCTGCGGTTGGGCTGAGGTCACTTACGGCCCGTATCTAAACGGTCGATAGGGAATGGGCTTGGTTGTGTGCACGTCCCAGTTGGGATATGGCGATGCTGGAGGTCGCTTGAAGTCTGAGGGAATCCATTCTACGGTGATATGGATGGTTAGTTGGGTCCTAGAACACAGCTGGGATGTGCTCACCTCCTGGTTTCCTGGTCGACTTCTTCTCGAGATCTGGGGTGGATTGTCGGGAGGCTCCTGGTTTGGATGCCGTCCACCATTGGAAGACCCGGGTGATGATCCAGACGCCGAGACTGGTTATCGTCCCGATCAGGGCGAGGTTATAGACGTGGGACTGGCCGCCATGGAAGGGTTCAAGAAGCATGATGCTGGGATGGGATTCTAGGTGGCAGAAAAGAAGGCCGTACCACCATGGTGGAGGCGGGACCAGACTTGGAGATATATACGGAATAGACTATGGACGACCTCGACCAGCGATGCAGATCGATGCGCAAGGTGCAGCATGTTGCCCAAAGAGTTAATCGAATGCGAGAGTGATAAACGATAAGCTGCTTATCATCCGGGGATATCTTTGCCTCATCCGGCAAGGCCTCCACACCGCCAGGGAAGATAGCTGGAGGGCTGCAGCCACGCATCCGTCATACAAACCAGGGCAACCGGGGGAGAAGTCCTATTTACAGCACTCCGTCGCGTCCACCACGCCGTTACCCCATCCTTAGCCGCTCAGCGTCTCCGGAGGAGACAGTACTGGCCCCATTTCCGTCGGAGCGCCTCTGGAACCACCGGCAAATCCGGTGTCCAGACCAGCCGCCCCAGAAGACCCGTCTGTGACGCGTCCAAGAAGCTATGACAGGCCAGCTTCTCCCACTGCGCTTCGTCATGGATGTACGCCGGCTCCAAGTCGGTTGCCTCCCGGCTCGGGAATTCCGAGTCCACCAGGAAGGAACATTGCGAGATGTCGACCTATTCAGCAGATAAGCATGTGGAAGAGATAGGAGAGAAATAGAACTTACGTATTTGCCAGGATCTTCCTCATTGCGATCGTTCATGCCCGTGGGGATCTGCGACGTCCCCTCGAAGAGAGCCGAGAACCCTGTGGCATCGGGAAACTCGCCCGGAAGCAGTCCCTGGAATTCGCTGCGGACAAACTTGGCCCGCATGTCGTTGGGGAGGAAAAACGAGGAGGGGAACCGATACCACTCCTTGCCAAAACAGACCAAATCGCCTGGCTGGGCGACCCCCGGCTGCTCCAATGGCTGGAACACCTTCAGCGGAGCATTGTATGCGGTGATCATACCGACAGTACGCAGTAGGCCAGCATTGAGGGCCACAAGAATCACCGACATCACCCCCGCGAGTTTGATCTTCGGGGGCACGCGTCCGACCAGCTCCTTCGGGTTGTTGGAGCCAATGAACGACAGGACCATATGAAAGGCAATGGCCGCATTGAGGGCAAGGAATGGATAGGCTGGGTACATGAACCGTTCCTCCTTATGGGGCTGAGCGGTGAAAATGGCAAACCACATATAGAACGGGGTGATGAGCGTCACGGTTCTCAGCAAGGTCTGCATGCTGGTTGCCCGGGGCCGGAAAAGAGCCTGGAGGGCCAACAGAGGCGCGGCAGCCATGGCGAAAGCAAACCAGATGTTGAAATTGAGCACCAGATTCCGGATATAGAATGTCCATGGCTCAGTCCCAAAGATTTCGGGACCCCTGCCCTCCCCGCCAAAGATGTTGTATGCAACAATGTTCCACGGGACGACAACAAGTCTGCGCAAGAAGGCGTAGTCGACAGCTACCTCCGTAGCCTAAATAAGTCAGCATAAAACGAAACCTCGAGGCGCCATAGAAGCATACCAGGATCACGAGGCACCTCATAGCTCCATCTAGGACGCTAAGGAACACTCCTCGGATGTTCGACGAAAAAAAGCCAATGAGCACCTCCTCCAGCAGAAGAGGAAGCACCAGAGCGCCAGCGAACGGCCAGCCGACAATCGCGCCGAGCCCGAACCACATAATTCCTTGCGCCGTCTTCTGCCCCCCTCGCCAGTCCAAGAACGCCGTCAGACCCAACATAGACATGTACATGGTGAAGCTGGACGGAAGGAAGGCTGTAGAGGCGTGGAACATGCCGGGACTGAACGCGACGATCATGAGGAAGAGGAGACCAATCCGGGGGCTCAGGGTGCGACAGATGGCGGAGTACAGTCGGGTTTCGCACGCAGCACACACCATCGCGAGGAAGAGTCGGATCGCGTAGAACTCCGAAGTCTTGCTGCTAAAAGCGAGCGATCCGATCTTACCAACCACCGCATGCGTAGACACATACAGCCAGCTTCGAATGGAATAGACCGGGGAGTACTCCCAGGTTTGGAGTCCATATCCATGGCCGAGATAATGGGTCGGTTCCCAGAAATTGAAGACTTCATCGCAATCCTGAATGGGGGCATAGAGCGCCGCAATGCCATTGGCAATGATGCAGAGATAGAGCGTTATGTTCAGTGGTAGGTAGAAGGGTGATGGCGGCGGCCTTTCGTAGCATGACCATGAGCAACTGTAGATGGAAGATGCCAGCTGGAGGATTCATACCGTTGCTTCGTGCGCGGAGTAGACGCCGACCCCTGCGGTCCTGTAGGGGCCTCCCCATTCCTCCGGGCGGGTGCCATTTCGGTCATTGGGATTGATTCACCAACGGAATCCGATTTCTCTTCACTTTGCTGAAGGCGTGATATGCGCGTCGGAAAAAGAGTCGGGGACGGCGGCCGACGAGACGGAAGGAAGCGAGCAGCGCGGCTTATCGATAAGGCGGCGCCACGGCAACCCGCCGCTTTCAAAAAAAAGTTCCCGGCGCAGTTTCAGTCCTCGTCCAGTCCATCCTCTCGCTTGTCCTGGGAGACTGTTTTGCGCGAGTCCTTGGAGCTTTCAAGATGAGTGATAATCAACCCCTTGCTCAACCCTCGGGCTCCTCGGATGTCCCCATTGAAGGCCCTCCGGTCAAAAGACCCTGCACCATCGACACGCCACCCATCGCCTTGACGCCAGCCGACGATGGAAGTGACTTTTACAATACGCCTTTGGCTGCAGGGACGCCAGCAGAAACCGGCGCTGCCAAGGACCAGGCCGATCTGTCTCAAACTCAGGCCAACGAGTCGGACGCCGCCTCAAATGCCCACCCACTGATTCCAGGATTGAACCTGGTCAATGACAGTCTCAAAGATCTGCAGCCAGAGGAGGTCGAATCACAGAGCACCACAACCTTGGCCGGTGAGCACGAGGGTACTGCTCCTGCCAACCAGCATGCAACTGCACCAGCAGAGCCTGAGAAGGTGGAGCAGACCAAGGAAGAGCCTGCTGTGGGAGGCACAGACGCGATGGAGGTGGACGCCAGCGAGAAACAGGAGACCCAACAGTCAGGAAATGCAACCGGGATCGAAAGTGCAAGCGCCCCTGGGGAGGCATCTGCCACGAATGGCGCGGAAGATGCCCAGGACGAAGAGGACGATGAGCACCCCGAGTGGGAAATTGATTCCTCTCCCTACGAATCCTCCTCCGATGACTCTTCCACCGATTCCTCCGACGACAGCGACGATGACGACGAAGATTACCCCATTCTGAGCCCCGAAGAACAAGCGCGGATCTTGATGCAGGCGGAACTCGGCTCCGACGACGAAGGAGACGGAAAGGGTAAATCAGGTGGTCACCTCCGAACGGCGAACGAAGTCGATGAAGAAGCGCCCCCGATCCCCGAAATCACCATCACGCCCGAGATGAAGGTTGTGCTTCTGGGTCATGTGGAGGCAATTGTCGAGAACACCCTCCTGATCGCTGCCAACACGACCGGCGAGTACCAGGTGCTTGAAGCCGGCTCGCTCCTTTGCCTGGAGAACCGGACCGTCGCCGGCGTGGTTTGCGAGACGCTTGGAAGGGTTGAGAACCCGCTATATGCCGTTCGGTATCCGACTGCTGCCACCATCACCGAGCGTGGCCTGTCCAAGGGCACCAACGTGTTCTACGTCGTCGAACACTCTACCTTCGTCTTCACTCAACCTCTCAAGGGCATGAAGGGAAGCGATGCATCGAACTTCCACGACGAGGAAATCGCCGAAGACGAGGTTGAATTCTCCGACGACGAAGCCGAAGCAGAGTACAAGCGCAAGCTGAAGCAAAAACGCCAGGAGAAGAAGGACGCCCGGAACGAGAACGGTCCCGCCAGAGGCAGAAGAGGTCCCCCGGGCCCCTCCAAGCTCAACCAAAGCGAGCTGAACTACGACGACAACCCAGCTGACGATGGATATACACCGCTGGCCCGCCCCAAGAACCTGCACGAGATGATGCGCCAACAGGAAGCCCCCGTTGAAGCCGATGGCCACTCCGGCCCGAGCAGAAACAACTCCGGCTTCCGTGGCGGTAGAGGTCGTGGTCGAGGATCTGACCGCGGCCGGGGTGGCCGTGGCCGCGGAGGAGGCACCGGAGCAAGGGACTCTCACGAACCGGCTTCGCATCAAGACCGTCAACCATACTACCAACATCAGCACCAGCAGCACCAAGCACAGACCCCTCAACCTCAGCAACACCACCCCTACCCCCAGCAAGCGTATCCCACGGCCCAGCAAGGCGGTTACGCTCTCCCTCAACAATTCCCCTTCGCACCCTTCCAGCCCCAACAACCTCAGCCCTACGGCCAAGGTGCAGTGCCAGCACCGTTCAATTTCCAAATGCCCTTCCAGCAGGCCTACCAACAACCCAACCCATACCAGCAGCTTCCTGCTAATGTGCATATCAACCCTCTGTTCCTGGCTGCTCTTCAGCAACAGCAACAACAACAGCAGCAGCAGCAGCAACAGCAGCAACAGCCCCAGCAAGCGCCGGGACAACAACCGCAACAGCCTACCATGAACTTTGACCAGGTGAAGGCGCAGTTGGACCTTTTGCGGCAACTAAGCAACAATAACCAGGGGCCGCCTCGTTCGTGATGATATGATATGATTCGCTGGAATTGGTCGCTATTGTTCAGTCGCTGTTATTATATACTTTCCTTTTCTTTCTAGTCATGGGTTCGGTTGCATATTAGGAGCTGGGCATCGCTTTCGGATGGGTAATAAAAAGTTACGCTACTGCTTCCTCTAGATCTTCACAATCTGGCACATGTACAGTGTTATAGCCTCACTACCGGAATTATTGTGGGAGGTGTCTTAAGGTGTATGATACATGGAGTAATTGGGTGTGAAAGCGTGATAATGTTAGGTGTCTTGGTATACTTGCAAGTGGACAGCTCACGACTCGCTTTGTTTTGCGCTCTTGGCCAAAACCCAGAAGTTTTCCAACTTTGCGCGGGCCAAAACATCCTTGGCTTGAGAATCGGTTTCGCAAATTCGTGCGCCGAGCCACTTCCGGAATGCTCGCCCCTTGACTTGACCTTCCCAGACGAGGTCGCATATGTTGGAGCTGAGATCCTTCAGATCGCCGGTTTGCTCATCTTCGGCAGCTAGCCATGAAGCCTGGGCCTCCCGGTTGCCCTCACGCACAGCGCCAGGGCCGGCATTCTCGGTCCAATCAATCCGGTTCATCATGAGCTTCCTGTAGTTGTTGATAGAATGCGAGCCTCCTTCTACAATCACCAGGTTGAACCGAGGATGCATGACGCACACCCCTGTGAGCGCGTTCTGCTCGGCGTTCTTACTGATTTTGAAGCGGTTCCGTCCGTTGGCGAGGCTATCGATCCGATAAACTGTCATAAAAATACCCTTTTCAGCATCATTCTCCTGCTGTCGGGCAAGCTTGTCCCGGCGTTCCTCCTTCGTAAGTTTGCGCTCCGCATTGGCAGCCTCGTGCTTCTCACGACGGTCTGCAATTTCTCGGTTCACACGTGCTTCCACGGCCGTGGGATCTTTGACGGCCTGTTCACCCAGAACCCGCATCAGGTTAGACTTCTTGACCTTTGGCGGAGGAGCTGGCTCAAGACCCAGTCGGATCTTCGCCTGTTGCTCCTTCAGATCTGCCATTCGGCGCTGGCGACGGATCTTCGCCTGTTCCTTCGGTGTAAGGTACATGGGCTTCTGTGCTGGCATAAGCTTTTCCTGCGGAGGATCAAGGAGAACCGGATGTTGGACGTAAAGTGTGATGATCGAATCGGGAGTGTCGATTTTGAGATTCTGGTCATTTTCGATGGCCGAATAGTCTTCGCCGTCGACCAGACCTTCGTCCCACCATTCAATCGCCGGGGGAGCCGGCACGAGGAAACCTTTCTCCACGTCCAAGTCTTCGTCGATACCCGCCTGTCGTGCTCTCTCCGCAATCCGCTTTTTCATAGCCTCCAACTGGGCTTGCCGACGGAGAGCAGCCGCCTGCTGTATGTATTTGCCCTTCTGGTTAAAGATGAGCTGTCGTGTCTGTCGTGGCTTCGCAACCGTTGCTTTCGGGCCAAGATTCGGGTCGAAGTATGGATTGCTCTTGATCTCTTCCAGAGATGGACCAGATAGATCAAGACCGGCTCGATCTGGCCTTCCCGCTGTAGCTGGAGATTCAGTCCGTCGGCTTTTCGATTGTGAAGTCTGTCGTCCTTTCCCACCCCGGTATTCAAGTGTGTCGGCAAGCAAGGCGGGGTGAAGACCGACATCCAGACCACCCCGAGCTCGCGACGAACCATCATCGTCATCTTCAAACGGAGGAGGTGGAGGTGCTGGCGTGGGCACAATTCGTTGCTGAGATGCTGCGGCGTTGGCGCGCCCGGTAGCAGCTGCGACCCTCGCTTTCATCTGTTCCAATCTTGACATGGCCGGACTAGCTGCAGGAGGCGTCGGGCTTGCACTCGAGGCAGCTGGTGTGGGTGATGGCGTTATGCCTTTGGCTGCTTGCAGTCTAGCACGCACAGCTTCTGCCTTTGCTCTTGCTTCGGCCACCATCTTCTCAATGTCCACTTTGCCCGCGGCGGGCGCCCCTTGGGCGGGCATTGGAGATCCATGATTGGAACGCGGTCTTTTCTGTGAGTTCTTGTCTTCGTCCTCGGGGTGAGGCCGCTTCAGCATGTTGCCTGATACGTCCGCCATGATCTGAGAGACAAAGAATGCTCCACTCACCCACAAAGATCAGCAGAGCAGCTGAGGTTGGTGATGATAGAAGGACGGGGAGAAAGCCAGCGAACGGGCGCAAAGACGTCAACAATGCAGAGGGAAGGAAGTTGCTGCAAGTGCGACCGGCGCGGGAATCACGGGGATTGACCCAGAGCCAGCGTGGGTCCCCCCGGCGGTGTCGCACGGCAGAAAAAAAGTTGGGTGAAACTTTTCGCATCGTCGAGACGGACGATCCCGCCGTTTCTGCTTTCCAGGCCTCCAGCCCAGACGAATACCCAAGATTTGCACCGCCAGCGTCGTCCGTCGCTCAAGCGGCTGCCAGGGGAATCATGACTACTTTCGCACGGCCCGTGGCCTCCTCCATCGCGGGGATTGACTTTGGTGTCTACAATGATGAAGACATCAAAGCTATCTCTGTCAAGCGAATCCATAATACCCCGACGCTGGATTCCTTCAACAACCCCGTTCCCGGTGGTCTCTATGATCCGGCGATGGGTGCATGGGGTGACCATGTGTAAGGCTTTCCCGTGCTTTGCTTTAGATTCCCCCAATTTCTCCGAATGGCGTACGATGCGGCGGATGCGAATCGAACTGACCGTAGCTAGCTGCACGACATGTCGTCAGACTTCCTGGTCTTGTACCGGTCACCCCGGACACATCGAACTCCCAGTCCATGTGTACAATGTCACGCATTTCGATCAGCTGTATCGGTTACTCAAGGGCCAGTGTGTCTACTGCCATCGCTTTCAGATGACCCGGTTCAACATCAACACCTACACCTGCAAGTTGCGACTGCTACAGTATGGCTTGGTTGACGAGCTGGCTGTTATCGATACGATGGCACACAAGAAGTCCGACAAGAAGAAGACGGCCAAGGATGGCGACGGGTCCAGCAGCGAGGACGAGGACGACGACGATATCATCGATCGCAGAAACAACTATGTCAAGAAATGTATCCGCCAAGCACAGGCAGATGGAAGGTTGAAGGGTCTCATGGCTGGATCGAAGAACCCATTGGCTGCGGAGCAGCGTCGAGCACTGGTCAGAGAGTTTTTCAAGGACATCGGCTCTCCTTCTAAGTGCGCCAGCTGTAGTGGGTACGTTGTGACATCCAATATGCGCAAATCCTTTCGAGGGCTTCCCACTGATTCGGGCGCACAGAATTTCCCCCTCATACCGGAAAGATCGGTCTTCCAAAATCTTCCGAAAGGCCCTCGCCGAGAAATCCAGACATCTGATGGCGCAAGCTGGATTCCAGATCCCGAACTCCCTGGTCCTTCTGCAGCAAGCTAAGAAGCTTACCTCGAAGGAGAAGGAGGCGCTTGCCAACGGGGTGTCTGACAGTGTCAGCACCACTTCGGAAACACATGGAGCGGAAGAAGAGGTTGCACGTGGTAATGCTATCGTGGCCCAGGCTGAGAGCAAAAGACAGGCTCCTGGCGAGAGCCAGCAATTTATGCCCTCTCCCGAGGTGCATGCTGCGATGACGCTACTCTTTGAGAAAGAAGAGGAGATCTTGAGCCTTGTATATAACTCCCGCCCATTGCCGAAGAAGGAGTCGCGGGTTAGCGCAGATATGTTCTTCATCAAGAACATTCTGGTGCCACCGAACAAGTTCCGTCCTGCTGCACCTCAAGGACCTGGCCAGATCATGGAAGCTCAGCAGAACCAATCCCTGACGTCGATCTTGAAGAACTGCGATATCATCAACCAGATCAGCAAGGAGAGGCAGAGCGCAGGCGCCGACTCCGCTACGCGCGTGCGGGACTACCGCGACCTTTTGCACTCGATCGTGACCCTCCAGGATACAGTCAACATGCTTATCGACCGTGACCGTGGTAACGCTACCGGACCCGCCGCCGCCTCCGCCCCGATGGGTATCAAGCAATACCTGGAAAAGAAGGAGGGTCTGTTCCGGAAGAACATGATGGGAAAGCGTGTCAACTTTGCTGCTCGAAGTGTCATCTCGCCCGACCCCAACATTGAAACCAACGAAATCGGTGTCCCTATGGTCTTCGCTAAGAAATTGACCTACCCGGAACCTGTGACCAACCATAACTTCTGGGAAATGAAGCAGGCCGTCATTAATGGTCCGGACAAGTATCCTGGTGCTTCGGCCATTGAGAATGAATTCGGCCAGGTCACCAATCTCAGGTTCAAGAGTCTGGATGAGCGGACAGCGTTGGCCAACCAGCTGCTCGCCCCGTCCAACTGGCGCATGAAGGGATCGCGCAACAAGAAGGTCTACCGCCATCTTACCACCGGTGATATTGTTTTGATGAACCGTCAGCCTACGCTCCACAAGCCCTCTATCATGGGTCACAAGGCTCGCGTTCTCCCCAACGAGAGAACCATTCGCATGCACTACGCCAACTGTAACACCTACAACGCGGACTTTGACGGTGACGAAATGAACATGCACTTCCCTCAGAATGAGCTTGCTCGCTCGGAGGCTATGATGCTGGCGGATGCAGACCACCAATACCTTGTCGCCACATCCGGCAAACCCCTCAGAGGTCTGATTCAGGATCACATCTCGATGGGAACGTGGTTCACCTGCCGAGACAGCTTCTTCGATGAGGACGACTATCACCAGTTGTTGTACAGCTGCTTGAGGCCGGAGAACTCTCACACGATTACGGACCGGATTCAAACTGTGGGCCCTGCGGTGATTCGGCCGAAGCGTCTCTGGACCGGTAAGCAGGTCATCACGACCATCCTCAAGAACATCATGCCTTCCGACAGGGCCGGTCTCAACTTGAAGAGCAAGTCGTCAACCCCCGGAGACCGATGGGGTGAAGGTAATGAGGAAGGAGAAGTCATCTTCAAGGATGGAGAGATGCTTTGCGGTATCCTGGATAAGAAGCAGATCGGTCCTACCGCCGGTGGTCTGGTCGATGCCATCCACGAGATCTACGGACACACCATCGCCGGACGGCTGATGAGTATCCTCGGTCGTCTCCTGACGAGAGTCTTGAACATGCGTGCCTTTACTTGCGGTATCGATGATCTTCGACTGACCCCTGAAGGCGACCGCGTTCGTAAAGAGAAGATTAGCGAAGCGGCTGCCATTGGTCGGGAGGTTGCATTGAAGTATGTCACCCTCGACCAGACTTCTGTGCCCGATGAGGATGCCGAGTTGCGACGACGTATGGAGGAGGTCCTCCGAGACGATGAGAAGCAGGGTGGCTTGGATAGTGTTTCCAACGCTCGCACCGCGAAGCTTTCGACCGAGATCACAAAGGCCTGTCTTCCAGGTGGTCTGGTTAAGCCTTTCCCGTGGAACCAGATGCAGTCGATGACAATCTCTGGAGCCAAGGGTTCAAGCGTCAATGCCAACCTGATTTCTTGCAACTTGGGTCAGCAGGTTTTGGAAGGTCGTCGTGTACCTGTCATGGTCAGCGGCAAGACTCTGCCGTCTTTCAGAGCATTCGACACCAACCCCATGGCTGGTGGTTATGTCTGCGGTCGTTTCTTGACTGGTATCAAGCCCCAAGAGTACTATTTCCACGCCATGGCTGGTCGTGAAGGTTTGATTGATACTGCCGTCAAGACCTCTCGATCCGGATACTTGCAGCGTTGTTTGATCAAGGGCATGGAAGGCTTGAGGGCCGAATATGATAGTTCGGTTCGTGAAGCCACTGACGGTTCGATCGTTCAGTTCTTGTACGGTGAAGATGGTTTGGATATCACCAAGCAGGTCCATCTCAAGGACTTCGATTTCCTGGCCTCGAACTACGTTTCCATCATGTCTCAGGTCAACCTGACCAGCGATTTCCACAACCTGGAGAAGGAGGAGGTCACGAATTGGCATAAGGATGCCATGAAGAAGGTGCGCAAGACCGGGAAGGTCGACGCCATGGACCCTGTCCTTTCTCTCTACCACCCCGGTGGTAACCTGGGCAGTATCTCGGAGAGTTTCTCGCAGGCACTCAAGAAGGTAAGAAATATCCGCACCCGAAAAGAGGAGATGGCTGAGGCTAACAACTTTCTTTCCAGTACGAGGACGCCAATCCCGACAAGCTGCTGAAGGACAAGAAGAAGGATGTCAACGGTATCATCAGCAAGAAGGCATTCAACACGCTCATGCACATGAAGTATATGAAGTCTGTCGTCGACCCTGGTGAGGCCATTGGTATCGTTGCCGGTCAATCTATCGGTGAACCATCCACTCAGATGACCCTGAACACCTTCCACTTGGCTGGTCACTCGGCAAAGAACGTGACGCTGGGTATTCCCCGTTTGCGTGAAATTGTCATGACTGCCAGTGCGCATATTATGACACCCACAATGACTTTGGTCTTGAACGAAGAGATGTCCAAGGAACATTCCGAAAGATTCTCCAAGGCTATCAGCAAACTCAGCATCGCAGAGGTCGTCGACAAGGTCCAGGTCAGAGAAAGAGTTTCCTCGGGCAGCATGAAGGCTAAGGTCTACGACATCGAGATTACCTTCTTCCCGGCCGATGAGTACACTGCGGAATACGCCATCACGACTAAGGACGTGCAGAACACCCTGCAGAACAAGTTCATTCCTAAGCTCGTCAAGCTTACCAAGGCTGAGCTCAAGAAGCGTCATGAGGAGAAGTCTATGAAGAGATACTCCACTGCCCAGCCTGAGATTGGTGTCTCCGTTGGCACTGTCCAGGACGCACCTCGCGCCGATGATGCCGAAGAAGAGCCGGCTGATGACGATGTCGAGGACGACGAGGACGACGCCAAGCGTGCCAGGGGTACACAGAACCGGTCCAACCAGGTTTCCTACGAAGGCCCCGAGGACGAGGAGATGGAAATGGTCCGACAGCAGGATGACGAGGAAGAAGATGATGATGAGGACAACGAGGCCGGTGAGAAACGCGATGTCGAGATGGACGATGCTTCAGATGACGAGTCCGACGGCCACACGAAAGACACCAAAATGCGTGAGGAAGATATCAAGGGCAAGTACCACGAAGTCACGCAGTTCAAGTTCAACCCCCGCGACGGAGGATCTTGCACAATCCAGCTGCAGTACGACATTGCGACCCCCAAGCTGCTCCTCCTGCCTCTGGTCGAGGATGCTGCTCGGAACGCCGTCATCCAGTCCATCCCCGGCCTCGGCAACTGCACGTTCGTCGAAGCCGACCCGATCAAGGGCGAGCCTGCCCACGTCATCACCGACGGTGTCAACCTGCTCGCCATGCGCGACTACCAAGACATCATCAAGCCTCACTCCCTCTACACCAACTCCATCCACGACATGCTCACCCTCTACGGTGTCGAGGCGGCCCGTGCCTCCATTGTCAAGGAAATGTCGGACGTTTTCCAGGGTCACAGTATCGCCGTTGACAACCGTCACCTGAACCTGATCGGTGACGTGATGACCCAGTCCGGTGGCTTCCGTCCCTTCAACCGCAACGGTCTCGTCAAGGACGGCTCTTCCCCGCTGGCCAAGATGAGTTTCGAAACCACGGTGGGATACCTCAAGGAGGCCGTCGTGGAGAGAGACTTTGATAACCTCAAGAGTCCCAGTGCCCGAATCGTCGTCGGCCGCACCGGCACCGTCGGTACCGGCGCCTTCGATGTCCTTGCTCCCGTGGCGTAAACTAATTGGCGTGCTGCATTTTCTGTCCGTCCGTATTGTATATGTGCAAAATCTTAGTTCCTGTATTTCTATTTCTTTTTCCTTTTTTCCTTCCCTACCGTTCTTGTCTGACGTGTCCAACGATCATCTCTGCAGTTGTCTTTCAGCGGGAATAAGAAAAAAGTTCTTCTTACGCAGATCGAATCTACCTTTAGAATAGTACGAGCCATCAATAGAACTCTGCTGCAAAACATGTAAAGTAAGGTAAAGGAACATTTCCTATCTAGGAAAGGACGCCTTGCTATATTGTACATTTTGACCGAATTGAAAACACCAGACGAACCGTGGTATCATGCATTTTTTGCAAGGACTGCCGAGGGAGAACAAAAATCAAGCGTCCAAGATAGACAGTAAATAATAATAAGGAGGGAGGAGTTCACTGCGCATCCAACATCATCAAATCTTCATCAATATCGTCATCAAATTCATCGGGAACCGTGCCGTTGCGAACGCCGTTATATGCACCATTTGCATCGTGAGCGAGTGCTTGACGCTGGGCTCGTTCTTCCTCCAGCCTCTGCTTCTCGCGATGTCTTTCCAGATCGGCTAAGCTCCACGTCGAGATACCTTCTTGGTCTCTGGCTTTGAATGGCTGGGCCATGGTCCGTAGGAAGTTCTTGGCGGTGGCTACAGCCATGTCGGTACTCAGGTTAGTTTCACTTTCCAGCATGGCTTGGTTGATCCATTTGGGGAGCTGGTTTCGCTTTTTCTGGAATCGGCGATCGGCGAGAACCATGACTCCGTAGTCGTCTTTGCCACGGAGGACACGGCCCAGGCATTGTGCGGCGTGACGCATCGCGTCGAAGGAGAGGAAGTCGTTTTCTCGGATGCGGTAGTTTTCGCGGAGGAATTCGAGGCGGGCTTTCAGGATACGGGACTCGGTGTATTGAAATGGGACACCGATGTTGATGACGGCGCGGCCGTAATGATGGTCGAAATCAATACCTTCAGAGACTTTTCCTCGGGCGACGCAGAAGAGAATGGCGCCTCGTCCGTTGCAGCAGGCGGTCCGGTAGGTTTCGAGGGCGAGAGAAGATTCTTGGGCGTCGGGGGTCTCGACGAGGATTAATTTGTAGTTCCAAATAGAGTCGAGAATGCCCATGCCTTGCCACATGCTGATGATGGATTCCATGTAGAGATAGGAGGGGAAGAAGACGACGATGCCGTCTGGAGTGACTCGAGCGAATTCAAGGACCAGGTTGCCGTAGTTTCGGACGACACCCGGGTCGTTGCGGATTTGGAAAGAGGAGGAAATCTGGGCTTGGTCGGAACCGCGGGTTACGACCATGGGGAGGAAGGATCGACGTGCGAGGGTCATACTGTATGACTCCTGCATCACGGTGTTGAATCCCAGCATCTTCGGGTACATTTCGAGAGGCGACAGAGTTCCGGAGGTGATAATGACGGAGCTGAACCGGTCGAACACCGGCTTAATGGCAATAGCAGCATCTAAACAGGTGAAGTGCAATACCGGGTTGGGTACTGTAGCTGCCTCTGATTCAAACGGCTCCAAGATCAACAAGAAACCTTTCTCGTACGTTGCAACGAGAGTCGCGAACGTAGCTACCTCCTGGAGCGGCTGATAGTCTTCTATGTTGATAAGCTCTAGGGTGCGCACGAGCGAGGTTAATCGTTCGGCGCAGAATCGGAGAGGCTTCCGCTCGATATAGGTAAGATCTTTCACGTGCGTTAAGAACGAAGGAGGCGTTTCGGATATGGTATGCATGACTTTCATTCGAGTCTTCAAGTATTCGATGAATCTTTTAAGGAAGGATATAAAGTGCTCCGCTCGTCGGATGTTTCCTGGCACGGCTTCCTTGAGTAGATCATCTGGTAGGACGGGATTTGAGATGAACTGATCCTCCTCTCGCGCCTGTTCAGCTTCCCGTAGGCCTTCGACAAGTTTTGAATATTCATTCTGGAGCTTTTCTGCATCCGAGCTCTTCATCTCATTAATCTTGCGTTCCAGGTTGTTCGCCCCTCTTGTCGCTTTTCGTAACGAGTCCTCCGTCAGGTCGATGCTCAGTGATTCGATACAGACGTTGTCGATGTTGTGCGCTTCGTCGAAGACGACAATACAGTCCTTGGAGAGTTCTCGAGATACCCTCTCGGCGATCTTGGGGTCTAGCAGGTAGTGATAGGAGTATATGATGACGTTGCAAAAGGGCATCTGAAGTCCATGTGAGTGTGACTGGACAGCGGTCGCCTATAAGAGGGGCTTACCATGCGCCGAGCTGAAAAGTACGGACATTGCTTGTGCGCTTCGCCGTATTTGAGTAAGCCGTCAAGAGTGAAGACACCAGGAGGAACGAGGTTGTGAGGTTCGAGAAGATCGAGGTTCTGCATAAAGTGTTATGGGATAGTCCAGATCCATACCGCAAGATCCATACCTCATGATATACACATAGTTCGACATCCTCGCCCCTCTCTTTCTTCTCCTTGACGAATCCTGCAGTTAAACTCCGGCACCTTGCATCAACCACTGCACCGCTCTTTTCCCGCTTGACCGAGGGATGCAGGCACAGATTCTTTCGACTCGTCAGACCCAGCGCGCGGAAGTCCTCGGTGTATCCCAGTTGCTCAGCACGGAACTTCATCAGTGCCTTCAGCTCGGCCAAGGCCTTTTCGATCTCGGACATGGTTCGAGAACAGTAGATGAGCTTTCTGTGCTCCGGATAATGTTGCTGGTAGGCGACAATCAACGAGAGTAGTGATACGGTCTTTCCGGTACCCGAAGGCATCTCCAGGACGCAGTGACCCCCGGCATCGAGGGTCTTTTTGAGATCGCACATGTAGGCATACTGTTCGGGATAGATACGAGGATACGGGAAAAGGACGGGGAGGTCGCTAGGAAATGGATAGGGTTAGCAAAGTTTGCTCTAAGACTGCCGCTGGACTAGCTAAATAGACCGATACTCACTCGATAAAGAATTTCATGGTGGGAGGGGAGCGCGGTGCGCGAGTGAGGCTGTTGATCGGCTTGGACGCAGCGGCGGAACTTCTAGACCGCGTCGACTTTGGCCCAATCGGGCGATCGATGACACCAGGTCACGTGCGATGCCCGATAGAGACCCCGATAATGTAATCCCGCCGCTTTTAATCGGCGGGGGTCTCGAGGGCCTCCAGATCCACGAACATCCAAGGGAATGGTGCAATGACAGACATCTGATTGAACTCGCTTGGGTCGACTAGCTGGGAGCTTGCACGACCAGATCACCGGAACTTCCTCGTCTTTCTTTCCGCGTACTTCCCTTGTATACACGCTCATTCCGTCATTTTCTTTACATCCCGCTCACCCCACTCGACTATGAGCAAAAAGTTCAAATCTCAGGCCTCGAGCAGCCGGGCTGCGGCCAGTACCTTTGGCGCTCTTGGTGGATTCTCCAGCGCTTTCTCTAGCCAAGGGAGAGAGCCATCCTCTCTTACATATGTGGCTGAGCCGCCGGATCTTTCCCGCATCTCGGAAGCGCAATTGGGGATTGCGTTCAAGAACTTCCTGAAAAAGGATGAGGTCACCAGGACAAGAGCACTAGATGATCTGAGAGACCATGTCTCTGGGGTCGAAAATCGCGGCGGGACGCTTGACGACGGGTTCCTGGAAGCTTGGGTAGGTCTATATCCGCCTCATGCGCTCCGAATAGCAAGTTGATCGTGGTTCGGGACATCCGCAGATTAAAATCTACCCGCGCGCATCCATTGACCTTTCCCGTAGGGTGAGGCAAACAGCCCATGCGACTCAAGGCTCCATTGCCTGCCTCGTGGGAAAGCGGGTTGCCCGCTTCCTCCCCAAGGTCATCGGCGCGTGGCTTGCGGGGATCTATGACAATGATAGACCGGTCCACCTGTCTGCCTTGGAGTCTTTCACGCGGGTTTTCACGACCGACGCGAAGAGGAGCGGCGTCTGGAAGGTCTACCAGAGCGCCATCCTGGACTTTGTGGATGATGTCATTCTGCAACAGACTGCGCAGACATTGAGCGATGAAAGAACCGTCAAGCCCGATGACGCAGAGGCAAAGTATGCGCGCGTAGCAGGAACCGCCCTGTTGTTGTTCAACCGGGTCTTAGGTATGCACACGATCTCACTATTGGGCCAAGTACCTTCTAACGAGAGCTTGATGCAGGACACTCCACCCATGAAGATCTTCAGAAGGATGTGGCCACAATCGAAAATCTACTAGGTAGCAAGTCTTTGTGGGCGCTCTCTTACCACGACGACCCTTTTGTCCGGAAATCACTCTATATTCTCACCCGGTCAGCAGTCTCTAAAGAGCCTGAGGAGCTTGATTGGAAGCTCATCAGTGCGGCCTTGATCGGCAAGGCCTTGCACAGTTCCCAACTAGGCTCCGCATCGGAGCTGTCAGAGACGATATTGCAGGTAACATCTGCAAGGCCCCAATTATGGACCGGAGATTATTCCGGAAAATCCTCTGCTTCAAAGAGACTACTCCAGTACATACAAAAAGGTTCCCAGAGCGGAGCAAGTGCATTCTGGCCAAACTTATACCAATTGCTGCAGACAATTCCATTCGAAACCCTGGAAAAGATCGACCTGCAATCGGCTTCCGGAACTACTCTTGGGCTGTCGAGTGCGGTTAAGTTGACAGAATCATTCCAGGAAGGACTGAACTCAAGGGATGAGCCTCGGCAGAATCGTGCAGTTGGTTGGAAGGCCTATATTGATACTGTCGTGTGGCTTGCCGGTCGGCTTATTGAGGATGATAGAGTGAACTTCCTGCGCGAGAGGCTTTCTCCATTGTCATTGCAACACGTCAAGCCTGAACAAGATCGTCCGCAATGGACACTTCCCGTCCAATCAGCTGAAGCTATCTGCACCGATTGTGTCGTCGCTTTGAGTGTGCCAGGGTATGAACCGGTGTTGACGCAATTGTGGACGGAGTTATGCGATGGCCTGCTGGAAGCGGTGAAGTTATCATCACCCGAGCAGTCCAAGGACTTTAGGTCCTCCCAGGACGCAGTATGCGCGCAAGCTGGAAGGCTCTTTGCCTTGGAAGCCTCGTTGCTTTCTCGTTTGACCGATACCGACCTTGAAGCAAGAATTGTGGATATCTGCAAGAACACAAATCTACCACTGCTTGATAATTGCTTGGAGGTATTGCGCTCTCGAAATGGCAAACCGTACGGGGCCGCTGCGGTCGTCGAAGAAATTATCCGGAACGTTCCACAGATTGCGCAGGGCTCCCAGTCGCTGCTGAGCTTTGTCCAGGACGATGCCCCAGAACTCCTGGCATCGCCATCCGCCGATCGATTAGTATCTATCATCATGGCTTGCCGATCATGGGATGGATATGGTTCTAGCTTTGAGAAGGCTGTTGAACATGTTGCGCAATCTGATCCGGAATCCTCGAATGCACATGCTGTGCAGAAGCTCCTCTCATCTCTTGATTTCCAGGAATTGGGCGACAAGTCTGGACTGACCTCCTTAATCATGCGAGCCCTCGACCGAGCCTGCAAAGGCAGCGACCTTCACTGGTCGATTGTTATAGCGGTGCTGCAGAACCACACCTCTCATGGGGAATTGACGGATTCCATATTCCTTTCAATTGTCGATTCCCTGTCTGAGGAGAGCAAGGTCTTTGATACACTGCAAGGACTTTCTCGGATTTCGGCTTCTGTCCCCAGTGCAGTTCGGAATTTCCAGAGCGGAACCCAGGGCTCCAAACTGTCTGGTAAGCTGCTGTTCCTTACGGAATCATCGGATGAAGAAGTAGCAGGTCTTGCGGAATCGCTGTCCAGGACTCTGAAAGAGTCCGTCGTCAGTGAAGCAAGTGCCAAATCAAGCTTTGAAATCTTGCAGCATCACTTCGAGAATGTCAACGAGGAGTCTGTTTCGTAAGTTATCGGTCCACAGAAGAACGGAAAGGGAGGCTAACGATATCAAGCATCGGATCTTTGTTGGGGATTGCCGAAGAGCTGCTACAAAATGTCAAGCCCGAGGATATCGGCAAAGTCGCCAAAGACATTCTGCCTTCCCGACAGTCTTGGGAAGATGCTCTGGGACCTTTCCTTGAGCTCCCTCCTCGGCTATCAGCTGCCATCACGAGTCCGCTTGCCGGTACCGTGCATCTGGTTGATCGCAGGGTGTCAGGCACATTCCGCGAGCGCTACACACGTATTCCCCGCGACTCCAATAACTGCTCGTCGGCATTCCGGCTGGCATATTACACCGTTAAAATCCTCTCTTTGTTTGACCTTGCCGGATGTCTTGGTGTCGAAGAGCTTGAGACGCTGTTCTACAATGTGCCTCTGGCGGTACAGCTCATTGACGATGACTTGAGCATCCAGAACTGCAACGGGATAACCGGCCTCACACTTCCCGAGCAGCGTGAGGAGTACATGGAAATCGTCAGCGATGGCCGAAAGGTCATCAATAGCTGGGCTCAATCGCAGGAAGCTGGACAGGGAGAGACAGTCGCTTCTATGCTTTCTACATATTGGAAAGACCAGATTGAGAAGCGGGATGCCTTGTCCCCGTTAGACTATCAGATTGGAGTGGCTTTTGTGAAGATCATGGAGTCGGTGGACCCCTCGAACAAGAGCCGGTCTTCAGAAGAGGTTACGCAACTTTGTAGAGATATGCGCAAGGCGAACGCTATCCGCTCGGCCTCTTGGGTAGCTGTGTTGCGACCTGCCATCCTGTCCAATCCCGCCGGTACGCGACTGTGCAACGAGTTTGTCGCCGACTCCACGGGGCTGAAGCCCCAGGAAGAGAGTAAAGATGGTCAGTTGAGCTCTGTCTTTTTGCTATCATTTACTAATCTAGCCTTAGGCCTTCGCAAGCTGGTGCTGCTGAACCTTCTGTTATCTGGCGAAGAAGACGTTGCGGCTTCTATTCCCACGCAGCGTCTGGTTTTCCTGACCAAGCATCTCATCCAATGTCTCCAGGCTGAAGGCGTGTCGCTCAGTGTGAAGGCTGAGACCTTCCAGACCCTGGCTGTAATGCTTCCTAACCTACAGGAAATCTATGGCTCTCACTGGGAGACCTGTATGGATATCCTTAGCACGACATGGCAAGAGACCAGTGGCGGCGACGAAGCTCTCCCGGCTCTGTTATCGTCGTTCAGGCTTTTTGCGCGTCTCCAGTCGTTGGCAGGGGACGAAGAGAGTAACGACGACGTGAAGGATGCGTGGTCGGATCGAAAGACAACGCTGTTCAACAGCTTGACGTCCACGCTCCGAAAATTCGGTGAGTGTGTTGTATTCACGTGCGTCAAATTGGATGCTGACCGGACAGATTCTTCGACCACCTTCCACCAACCGCGAGATGTAGTTGTCGAGTTGTTGTGCCGCTTCCTCAATGTCATCCCGATTGACAACCTGGAGGACGTGAGCAAGTTCTTCCCACTTCTGACCGCGCAGAGCCCCGCGGTTCAGCGGGCCGCCTACACTGTCCTTCACCGGTACATTCCGAGCGTGCAGGAGCAGGTGTCTTTCGATGTGGCACTGTCGAAGACGACGGTCGGGCTGCCGGATGAGCTGATGTCTCTGCTGCTTGAGGCGCCAACGATGGAAGCGGTCAATGCCGCATATGGCGACGATAGGTTGTGGGCCGCAGTCCGGTCGTATCTTCTGAGCTGGAAGGTGGTTTTCGACCACTTTGTGAATGCGGTATGTGTTGAGTACGATGTTGTAGGGATGATTCTCTGACCTGCTCCAGTCTCTCGCGGTCCAAGAAAACTACGTGGCCAGCATCAAGGATAACGAAAGTCTCAGCCCGCTGTTAGAGTTTATGTTCGATTTCCTGCAACGATCGCACGGAAAGATGGTGGATGCGTCCAAGTTCGACGTTCGCTCCTTCGAACTCGACCAGTCCGAGAGCCCTGAGTCTGAGATCCAGTGGCTTCTTGTGCACTTGTATTTCCTCTGCTTGCGGCACCTGGCCAACATGACGAAGGGTTGGTGGCTTGATACAAAGAAGCGCATCAAGGGGCCTGTGGCGACTTGGACTGAGAAATTCGTAAGCTCACCTGTCCGGATTCGCCTGTTCGTATGGTGGACTAACCGATGATAGATCTCGCCTTTGGTGATTGGGGACTCGTTGCAGGGGGTCACGGAATGGATTTCGACCCAGGATCCGAACGAAGAGCGCGCGCTGAACGTGAAGATCGCCTCCAAGACGGCGGAGATCATCGCCAGCATCCCGGTGGACGAGGACTCACCGCCGGTGGCATTGTCTATCTCGCTTCCTCCGGCCTACCCATTGCAGCCGGCGTTGGTGGTTGGCCGGAGCCGAGTGCTGGTGGACGAAAAGAAGTGGCGGAGTTGGCTGCTGACGATCCAAGGCGTGATCATGTTTGCCAACGGCAACCTGGTGGATGGGCTGCTGGCGTTCCGAAAGAACGTGCAGGGAGCACTCAAGGGGCAGAGCGAGTGCGCGATCTGCTACTCGGTGATCTCGACGGACATGCAGACCCCGAACAAGCGGTGCGCGACGTGCAAGAACACGTTCCACTCGGTGTGTCTGTTCCGGTGGTTCAAGAGCAGTAACCAGAGCACGTGCCCGCTGTGCCGGAACAACTTTGTGTATGTGTGAGGGGACGAGCGTGTACATAGACATAGATTATCCTTAGATGTTGGACGAGTTGCAAGGTGTATCCTGCACAGTACCTCCAACACAGGAACTCTAGTGGGGGCGGCAGCGCGGGGCAGTTCCTGAATCGTCCCCGCCGCCCGCAAGCTTCCAGTCGGGCTCTTCCATCATTAATTCATCCCGGCACCATGTCCGCCTCCCAGATTCCCAACCTCAACTCCCTTCGTCGCGGCAGTGGTCGCGGCCGATTCCGATCTCGCGGTGGCAGTCAGGCCGGCGATGCAGGCCACGGGTCGCATGGTGCCAAAGACCGCGTGGTGCAGGGCACCGACAATGACGCCAGCGTGTCTCGCCTCAGCGCCGTGAGCCTAGGATATCTCCAGGATGCCTTCGCCCCGGCATTGACAGCCCCTGGCATGGAAACCCGTCGGCTGCCCATCATTAATAGAGGTCAGCGTTCACCAGCTTCTATCTCTTCGTTTCTGACTCCATGATCAACCCAGGAACCTATGTCCGCACCACCGCCATCGACCACCTCATCTCCCGCTTCCTCGACGCCCATCCCCCGCAGACCCAGAAACAAATCATCTCCCTCGGTGCCGGCACCGACACGCGCGTCTTCCGGCTCCTCTCCTCCTCCCCGCGTCCCAATATTTTCTATCACGAGATCGACTTTCCCGTCAACACCTCCGCCAAAATCAAATACATCCGCGCCGCCCCGCTCCTCCAGCGCGTCCTCGGCAGCCAGGACGATGTGGTAATCTCTCCCACCAACGACGCCATTCACTCCTCCTCCTACCACCTACACCCTCTCGATCTACGTAATCTAGCGACCTCCCCTCGCTTACCAGGCCTCGACCCTACCCGGCCCACCCTCTTGATCTCCGAATGCTGCCTCGTATACCTCACCCCGGAAGAGGCGGGCTCCGTGGTCCGCTATTTTACAGAGGACCTGCTCCCCTCGACCACGCCGGTAGGGCTGATTCTATACGAGCCCGTTCGGCCCGATGACGCGTTCGGCCGCACCATGGTGGCCAATCTTGCTACGAGGGGCATCCAGCTCCAGACCCTGCAGGAGTATGCGTCGCTCGGGGCCCAGAGACGGCGACTCCAAGAGTTGGGGTTTGTGGGGGGCCAGGCAGCGGCGGATGTGGATTTCCTGTGGGAGCGATGGGTGCCGGAGACGGAGAAGGAGCGGGTAGCGGGGCTGGAGATGCTGGATGAGATGGAGGAGTGGCGGTTGTTGGCGAGACATTATTGTGTTGCGTGGGGATGGCGCGATGGGGAGGGTGTGTTTGAGGGGTGGAGGGGAGTGGAAGGACAGGAGTAGTCCGGAGTCTGTGCTACACTAACTCAGCTCAGACCTGCCATTCCTCCCTCCACGTTGGACGATGGGTGACGCGGGAGTGATGAACGTGGACGTGATTTCAGTGCAGATAGTATTGACAACTATTGATTGACGGGGTGTCAATCAAACAGGGTTTGATGAGAACACACGGCATTTCAGCAAGAGAGCGAGAAGCTAACTGGGACTATTGCTCGACTAGCTAGCTCCCGATGCCATTGGGCCGCCCCCTTTTTTGCGAGCGAGTGTTCCTGGTGCCATGACTCGACCGCGGGCCGTCGCAGAGCTATCTCCCAGGCCAGCTGCGGCGCCGCTGATCCGGTCTGGACTGTGATGATCCTGGTCTGGGAATTGGGAGCCATGCGACCACAATTAGGATTGTGACAAAGACTGTCTTTTACTTCAAGTCCACCTCTCTACAATCTACATATCTATCTGTCTGTCTGTCCCCCATCCATGGATTATCTTCATCCTATCTAGGGTATTGATTCTTCAGGGTCCATCACGACGAGGGTTTGTTGCTATAAAAGGAGACTGCATCCATCGGAAATTGCCCCCTCCCCGGTGCGTCTGAGCCAATCCCACGGCATAAAGTGGAGCTCTTAGCCATGAACTGCCGGGGCCGCCATGGGCGCTGATTGGCGCGACCCCCTGACGGGTGGCCGGGCGTGGCCCAATAAGGAAAGGCGCAGGTACCTCGATACGGAACGAAGCTTTAGGGTTTGCTGGATTAGGCAAGTCGGGGGGGGGGGGATCTCCCATCTGGCTGTTCGCTGCTGGTGGATGCCTTTAGTTCCCTCTCTCTCTCTCTCTTCCTCGCTCGCTTTCTCTTCTTTTCGCTCTTTTACTTTCTGCTGGTGTGGTGTTTTCACTGCGTTGCGCCCCGTTTCTCTGTCTTTCTTTTCAAGTCCGCTTCGGTCCAGTCATTCGTTACATGTCTCTTGACATTGATTCTTCCTGACCATCGTCTTTCATTTGGGGTGGCCCAAGTGGCGTCGTATAATCCCTCTTTTCATCTAGCTACCTATCTGTCTGCATATCTGCATATATTTCTCAAGCGATTGATACATATCATATCTTTGTTGGTATATAGATCACATTCCGCTACCCTCTCACCATGAAGTCCAGTAGCGCCATTGTGGCTTTGCTTGCCATTGCTGCTGAAGCAGCGAGCCATGGTCATGACCATGGCCATCATCACGTCCACCGCTCCGTCGAGGTGGAAGCCCCCGTGGCCAAGAGGGGAGGCAGCTGCCAGTTCCCCTCGGGGGAGGGCTTGATTGCCGTCACGCCTAGCGAGCTGAACGGCGGCTGGGCCATGAGTCCCAATCAGGAGTGCAAGCCTGGCGGATACTGTCCGTATGCCTGCCCGGCGGGTCAGGTCTCCATGCAGTGGGACCCGGAGGCGACGTCGTACACCTATCCCCTGTCCATGGTAAGTAACCTGCAGCCTGGCAACTGATTATAGACTGACGGAGAGCAGAACGGCGGGCTTTACTGTGACGAGGACGGCAAAATCCAGAAGCCTTTCCCGGATAGACCGTACTGCCAGGACGGCACGGGGGTCGTCAGCGCAAAGAACAAGTGCAAGGAGCAGGTTGCCTTTTGCCAGACGGTTCTTCCGGGTAACGAAGCTATGCTGATTCCAACGCTGGTGGAGGAGCTGGTTACCCTGGCTGTGCCGGATCTGAGCTACTGGTGTGAAACGGCCGCGCAGTAGGTTTTGATTCCGTTTATTGGAAGGGGATGATACTGACGAGTCAGCTTCTATATCAATCCACCCGGTTATACTACCGAGACGGCCTGTGTTTGGGGCACCTCGGAGAATCCGTACGGCAACTGGTCTCCGTATGTTGCTGGCGCTAATACCGATGGCGAGGGTAACACGTTTGTGAAGATCGGATGGAACCCGATCTATTTGGAGCCGACCACGCCGTTCCGCGATGTGGTTCCTGATTTTGGTGTGGAAATTGAGTGTGAGGGCGATGGCTGCAATGGCCTGCCGTGCAAGATCGACCCGGCCGTCAACGGGGTGAATGAGATGACGGGCGCCAATACCGACGGTGCCGGTGGCGCGTCGTTCTGTGTGGTGACGGTGCCCAAGGGCGGCAATGCCAACATTGTTGTGTTTGACAAGGAGGGTAGTTCTTCGAGCACAGTTTCCAGCAGCAGCAGCAGCAGCAGCAGCAGCAGCAGCAGTACCTCGACCAGCAGCATCATCCCCACGACTAGCAGCACGTCGACGAGCATCAGCATCAGCACCACCAGCAGCACTCCGACCCCGTCCAGCACTAGCACTAGCACTAGCACCAGCACCAGCACCAGCACCAGCACCAGCACCAGCACCAGCACCAGCACCAGCACCAGCACCAGCACCAGCACCAGCACCAGCACCAGCAC